GAAAAGCCCAGCCCTACCTGACGAACAAAGCTTTGCAGTTTGTACCCAACAGTCATTGCCAGGGACCCAGAACTGATAATCAGGTATTTTAGGCTGGGTGAATAAAAAATTGATGGTTGAAAATTCAAGAAAGAGTTATCTTGTTTGTGTTTTTACATTTTGGAGGAGTTGACAGATAAAGACAAGAGTTGGGGGTATTTCCAATGACAAGGAGGTGCTTGCGGCTGGAGTTGAACAAGCGACCTTTGGATCACAGAGTTTCACACAAGGAGCATCTTACAGTCCACCGCTCTACCAACTGAGCTATCAAGGTGCTCTCTAGTCACAAGTGCAGAAAACATAGTGGCTTCGAAGTCACACTATGCCCACAGAACTATTCCAACCCATGGTCAATGAAAAGCCCAGCCCTACCTGACGAACAAAGCTTTGCAGTTTGTACCCAACAGTCATTGCCAGGGACCCAGAACTGATAATCAGGACTTTTAGGCTGGGTGAATAAAAAATTGATGGTTGAAAATTCAAGAAAGAGTTATCTTGTTTGTGTTTTTACATTTTGGAGGAGTTGACAGATAAAGACAAGGCTTGGGGGTATTTCCAATGACAAGGAGGTGCTTCCGGCTGGAGTTGAACCAGCGACCTTAGGATCACAGCGTTTCACACAAGGAGCATCTTACAGTGCACCGCTCTACCAACTGAGCTATCAAGGTGCTCTCTAGTCACAAGTGCAGAAAACATAGTGGCTTCGAAGACACACTATGCCCACAGAACTATTCCAACCCATGGTCAATGAAAAGCCCAGCCCTACCTGACGAACAAAGCTTTGCAGTTTGTACCCAACAGTCATTGCCAGGGACCCAGAACTGATAATCAGGACTTTTAGGCTGGGTGAATAAAAAATTGATGGTGGAAAATTTAAGAAAGAGTTATCTTGTTTGTGTTTTTACATTTTGGAGGAGTTGACAGATAAAGACAAGGCTTGGGGGTATTTCCAATGACAAGGAGGTGCTTCCGGCTGGAGTTGAACCAGCGACCTTAGGATCACAGCGTTTCACACAAGGAGCATCTTACAGTGCACCGCTCTACCAACTGAGCTATCAAGGTGCTCTCTAGTCACAACTGCAGAAAACATAGTGGCTTCGAAGACACACTATGCCCACAGAACTATTCCAACCCATGGTCAATGAAAAGCCCAGCCCTACCTGACGAACAAAGCTTTGCAGTTTGTACCCAACAGTCATTGCCAGGGACCCAGAACTGATAATCAGGACTTTTAGGCTGGGTGAATAAAAAATTGATGGTTGAAAATTTAAGAAAGAGTTATCTTGTTTGTGTTTTTACATTTTGGAGGAGTTGACAGATAAAGACAAAGGTTGGGGGTATTTCCAATGACAAGGAGGTGCTTCCGGCTGGAGTTGAACCAGCGACGTTAGGATCACGGCATTTCACACAAGGAGCATCTTACAGTCCACCGCTCTACCAACTGAGCTATCAAGGTGCTCTCTAGTCACAAGTGCAGAAAACATAGTGGCTTCGAAGACACACTATGCCCACAGAACTATTCCAACCCATGGTCAATGAAAAGCCAAGCCCTACCTGACGAACAAAGCTTTGCAGTTTGTACCCAACAGTCATTGCCAGGGACCCAGAACTGATAATCAGGACTTTTAGGCTGGGTGAATAAAAAATTGATGGTTGAAAATTTAAGAAAGAGTTATCTTGTTTGTGTTTTTACATTTTGGAGGAGTTGACAGATAAAGACAAGGCTTGGGGGTATTTCCAATGACAAGGAGGTGTTTCCAGCTGGAGTTGAACCAGCGACCTTAGGATCACAGCGTTTCACACAAGGAGCATCTTACAGTCCACCGCTCTACCAACTGAGCTATCAAGGTGCTCTCTAGTCACAAGTGCAGAAAACATAGTGGCTTCGAAGACACACTATGCCCACAGAACTATTCCAACCCATGGTCAATGAAAAGCCCAGCCCTACCTGACGAACAAAGCTTTGCAGTTTGTACCCAACAGTCATTGCCAGGGACCCAGAACTGATAATCAGGACTTTTAGGCTGGGTGAATAAAAAATTGATGGTTGAAAATTTAAGAAAGAGTTATCTTGTTTGTGTTTTTACATTTTGGAGGAGTTGACAGATAAAGACAAAGGTTGGGGGTATTTCCAATGACAAGGAGGTGCTTCCGGCTGGAGTTGAACCAGCGACCTTAGGATCACGGCATTTCACACAAGGAGCATCTTACAGTCCACCGCTCTACCAACTGAGCTATCAAGGTGCTCTCTAGTCACAAGTGCAGAAAACATAGTGGCTTCGAAGACACACTATGCCCACAGAACTATTCCAACCCATGGTCAATGAAAAGCCCAGCCCTACCTGACGAACAAAGCTTTGCAGTTTGTACCCAACAGTCATTGCCAGGGACCCAGAACTGATAATCAGGACTTTTAGGCTGGGTGAATAAAAAATTGATGGTTGAAAATTTAAGAAAGAGTTATCTTGTTTGTGTTTTTACATTTTGGAGGAGTTGACAGATAAAGACAAGGCTTGGGGGTATTTCCAATGACAAGGAGGTGCTTCCAGCTGGAGTTGAACCAGCGACCTTAGGATCACAGCGTTTCACACAAGGAGCATCTTACAGTCCACCGCTCTACCAACTGAGCTATCAAGGTGCTCTCTAGTCACAAGTGCAGAAAACATAGTGGCTTCGAAGACACACTATGCCCACAGAACTATTCCAACCCATGGTCAATGAAAAGCCCAGCCCTACCTGACGAACAAAGCTTTGCAGTTTGTACCCAACAGTCATTGCCAGGGACCCAGAACTGATAATCAGGACTTTTAGGCTGGGTGAATAAAAAATTGATGGTTGAAAATTCAAGAAAGAGTTATCTTGTTTGTGTTTTTACATTTTGGAGGAGTTCACAGATAAAGACAAGGCTTGGGGGTATTTCCAATGACAAGGAGGTGCTTCCGGCTGGAGTTGAACCAGCGATCTTAGGATCACTGCGTTTCACACAAGGAGCATCTTACAGTCCACAGCTCTAACAACTGAGCTATCAAGGTGCCCTCTAGTCACAAGTGCAGAAAACATAGTGGCTTCGAAGACACACTATCCCCACAGAACTATTCCAACCCATGGTCAATGAAAAGCCCAGCCCTACCTGACGAACAAAGCTTTGCAGTTTGTACCCAACAGTCATTGCCAGGGACCCAGAACTGATAATCAGGACTTTTAGGCTGGGTGAATAAAAAATTGATGGTTGAAAATTTAAGAAAGAGTTATGTTGTTTGTGTTTTTACATTTTGGAGGAGTTGACAGATAAAGACAAGGCTTGGGGGTATTTCCAATGACAAGGAGGTGCTTCCGGCTGGAGTTGAACCAGCGACCTTAGGATCACGGCGTTTTACACAAGGAGCATCTTACAGTCCACCGCTCTACCAACTGAGCTATCAAGGTGCTCTCTAGCCACAAGTGCAGAAAACATAGTGGCTTCGAAGACACACTATGCCCACAGAACTATTCCAACCCATGGTCAATGAAAAGCCCAGCCCTACCTGACGAACAAAGCTTTGCAATTTGTACCCAACAGTCATTGCCAGGGACCCAGAACTGATAATCAGGACTTTTAGGCTGGGTGAATAAAAAATTGATGGTTGAAAATTTAAGAAAGAGTTATCTTGTTTGTGTTTTTACATTTTGGAGGAGTTTACAGATAAAGACAAGGCTTGGGGGTATTTCCAATGACAAGGAGGTGCTTCCGGCTGGAGTTGAACCAGCGACCTTAGGATAACTGCGTTTCACACAAGGAGCATCTTACAGTCGACTGCTCTACCAACTGAGCTATCAAGGTGCTCTCTAGTCACAAGTGCAGAAAACATAGTGGCTTCGAAGACACACTATGCCCACAGAACTATTCCAACCCATGGTCAATGAAAAGCCCAGCCCTACCTGCAGAACAAAGCTTTGCAGTTTGTACCCAACAGTCATTGCCAGGGACCCAGAACTGATAATCAGGACTTTTAGGCTGGGTGAATAAAAAATTGATGGTTGAAAATTTAAGAAAGAGTTATCTTGTTTGTGTTTTTACATTTTGGAGGAGTTGACAGATAAAGACAAGGCTTGGGGGTATTTCCAATGACAAGGAGGTGCTTCTGGCTGGAGTTGAACCAGCGACCTTAGGATCACAGCATTCCCCACAAGGAGCATCTTACAGTCCACCGCTCTACCAACTGAGCTATCAAGGTGCTCTCAAGTCACAAGTGCAGAAAACATAGTGGCTTCGAAGACACACTATGCCCACAGAACTATTCCAACCCATGGTCAATGAAAAGCCCAGCCCTACCTGACGAACAAAGCTTTGCAGTTTGTACCCAACAGTCATTGCCAGGGACCCAGAACTGATAATCAGGACTTTTAGGCTGGGTGAATAAAAAATTGATGGTTGAAAATTCAAGAAAGAGTTATCTTGTTTGTGTTTTTACATTTTGGAGGAGTTGACAGATAAAGACAAAGGTTGGGGGTATTTCCAATGACAAGGAGGTGCTTCCGGCTGGAGTTGAACCAGCGACCTTAGGATCACGGCATTTCACACAAGGAGCATCTTACAGTCCACCGCTCTACCAACTGAGCTATCAAGGTGCTCTCTAGTCACAAGTGCAGAAAACATAGTGGCTTCGAAGACACACTATGCCCACAGAACTATTCCAACCCATGGCCAGCAAAAGCCCAGCCCTACCTGACGAACAAAGCTTTGCAGTTTGTACCCAACAGTCATTGCCAGGGACCCAGAACTGATAATCAGGACTTTTAGGTTGGGTGAATAAAAAATTGATGGTTGAAAATTTAAGAAAGAGTTATCTTGTTTGTGTTTTTACATTTTGGAGGAGTTGACAGATAAAGACAAGGCTTAGGGGGTATTTCCAATGACAAGGAGGTGCTTCCAGCTGGAGTTGAACCAGCGACCTTAGGATCACAGCGTTTCACACAAGGAGCATCTTACAGTCCACAGCTCTACCAACTAAGCTATCAAGGTGCTCTCTAGTCACAAGTGCAGAAAACATAGTGGCTTCGAAGACACACTATGCCCACAGAACTATTCCAACCCATGGTCAATGAAAAGCCCAGCCCTACCTGACGAACAAAGCTTTGCAGTTTGTACCCAACAGTCATTGCCAGGGACCCAGAACTGATAATCAGGACTTTTAGGCTGGGTGAATAAAAAATTGATGGTTGAAAATTTAAGAAAGAGTTAACTTGTTTGTGTTTTTACATTTTGGAGGAGTTGACAGATAAAGACAAGGCTTGGGGGAATTTCCAATGACAAGGAGGTGCTTCCGGCTGGAGTTGAACCAGCGACGTTAGGATCACAGCGTTTCACACAAGGAGCATCTTACAGTCCACTGCTCTACCAACTGAGCTATCAAGGTGCTCTATACTCACAAGTGCAGAAAACATAGTGGCTTCGAAGACACACTATGCCCACAGAACTATTCCAACCCATGGTCAATGAAAAGCCCAGCCCTACCTGCAGAACAAAGCTTTGCAGTTTGTACCCAACAGTCATTGCCAGGGACCCAGAACTGATAATCAGGACTTTTAGGCTGGGTGAATAAAAAATTGATGGTTGAAAATTTAAGAAAGAGTTATCTTGTTTGTGTTTTTACATTTTGGAGGAGTTGACAGATAAAGACAAGGCTTGGGGGTATTTCCAATGACAAGGAGGTGCTTCTGGCTGGAGTTGAACCAGCGACCTTAGGATCACAGCATTCCCCACAAGGAGCATCTTACAGTCCAACGCTCTACCAACTGAGCTATCAAGGTGCTCTCAAGTCACAAGTGCAGAAAACATAGTAGCTTCGAAGACACACTATGCCCACAGAACTATTCCAACCCATGGTCAATGAAAAGCCCAGCCCTACCTGACGAACAAAGCTTTGCAGTTTGTACCCAACAGTCATTGCCAGGGACCCAGAACTGATAATCAGGACTTTTAGGCTGGGTGAATAAAAAATTGATGGTTGAAAATTTAAGAAAGAGTTATCTTGTTTGTGTTTTTACATTTTGGAGGAGTTGACAGATAAAGACAAAGCTTGGGGGTATTTCCAATGACAAGGAGGTGCTACCGGCTGGAGTTGAACCAGCGACCTTAGGATCAAGGCATTTCACACAAGGAGCATCTTACAGTCGACCGCTCTACCAACTGAGCTATCAAGGTGCTCTCTAGTCACAAGTGCAGAAAACATAGTGGCTTCGAAGACACACTATGCCCACAGAACTATTCCAACCCATGGTCAATGAAAAGCCCAGCCCTACCTGACGAACAAAGCTTTGCAGTTTGTACCCAACAGTCATTGCCAGGGACCCAGAACTGATAATCAGGACTTTTAGGCTGGGTGAATAAAAAATTGATGGTTGAAAATTTAAGAAAGAGTTATCTTGTTTGTGTTTTTACATTTTGGAGGAGTTGACAGATAAAGACAAGGCTTGGGGGTTTTCCAATGACAAGGAGGTGCTTCCGGCTGGAGTTGAACCAGCGACCTTAGGATCACAGCGTTTCACACAAGGAGCATCTTACAGTCCACCGCTCTACCAACTGAGCTATCAAGGTGCTCTCTAGTCACAAGTGCAGAAAACATAGTGGCTTCGAAGACACACTATGCCCACAGAACTATTCCAACCCATGGTCAATGAAAAGCCCAGCCCTACCTGACGAACAAAGCTTTGCAGTTTGTACCCAACAGTCATTGCCAGGGACCCAGAACTGATAATCAGGACTTTTAGGCTGGGTGAATAAAAAATTGATGGTTGAAAATTTAAGAAAGAGTTATCTTGTTTGTGTTTTTACATTTTGGAGGAGTTGACAGATAAAGACCAGGCTTGGGGGTATTTCCAATGACAAGGAGGTGCTTCCGGCTGGAGTTGAACGAGCGACCTTAGGATAACTGCGTTTCACACAAGGAGCATCTTACAGTCGACTGCTCTACCAACTGAGCTATCAAGGTGCTCTCTAGTCACAAGTGCAGAAAACATAGTGGCTTCGAAGACACACTATGCCCACAGAACTATTCCAACCCATGGTCAATGAAAAGCCCAGCCCTACCTGACGAACAAAGCTTTGCAGTTTGTACCCAACAGTCATTGCCAGGGACCCAGAACTGATAATCAGGACTTTTAGGCTGGGTGAATAAAAAATTGATGGTTGAAAATTTAAGAAAGAGTTATCTTGTTTGTGTTTTTACATTTTGGAGGAGTTGACAGATAAAGACAAGGCTTGGGGGTATTTCCAATGACAAGGAGGTGCTTCCGGCTGGAGTTGAACCAGCGACCTTAGGATCAAGGTTTTCACACAAGGAGCATCTTACAGTCCACCGCTCTACCAACTGAGCTATCAAGGTGCTCTCTAGTCACAAGTGCAGAAAACATAGTGGCTTCGAAGACACACTATGCCCACAGAACTATTCCAACCCATGGTCAATGAAAAGCCCAGCCCTACCTGACGAACAAAGCTTTGCAGTTTGTACCCAACAGTCATTGCCAGGAACCCAGAACTGATAATCAGGACTTTTAGGCTGGGTGAATAAAAAATTGATGGTTGAAAATTTAAGAAAGAGTTATCTTGTTTGCGTTTTTACATTTTGGAGGAGTTGACAGATAAAGACAAGGCTTGGGGGTATTTCCAATGACAAGGAGGTGCTTCCGGCTGGAGTTGAACCAGCGACCTTAGGATCACAGCGTTTCACACAAGGAGCATCTTACAGTCCACAGCTCTAACAACTGAGCTATCAAGGTGCTCTCTAGTCACAAGTGCAGAAAACATAGTGGCTTCGAAGACACACTATGCCCACAGAACTATTCCAACCCATGGTCAATGAAAAGCCCAGCCCTACCTGCAGAACAAAGCTTTGCAGTTTGTACCCAACAGTCATTGCCAGGGACCCAGAACTGATAATCAGGACTTTTAGGCTGGGTGAATAAAAAATTGATGGTTGAAAATTTAAGAAAGAGTTATCTTGTTTGTGTTTTTACATTTTGGAGGAGTTGACAGATAAAGACAAGGCTTGGGGGTATTTCCAATAACAAGGAGGTGCTTCCGGCTGGAGTTGAACCAGCGACCTTAGGATCACAGCGTTTCACACAAGGAGCATCTAACAGTCCACCGCTCTACCAACTGAGCTATCAAGGTGCTCTATACTCACAAGTGCAGAAAACATAGTGGCTTCGAAGACACACTATGCCCACAGAACTATTCCAACCCATGGTCAATGAAAAGCCCAGCCCTACCTGACGAACAAAGCTTTGCAGTTTGTACCCAACAGTCATTGCCAGGGACCCAGAACTGATAATCAGGACTTTTAGGCTGGGTGAATAAAAAATTGATGGTTGAAAATTTAAGAAAGAGTTATCTTGTTTGTGTTTTTACATTTTGGAGGAGTTGACAGATAAAGACAAGGCTTGGGGGTATTTCCAATGACAAGGAGGTGCTTCCGGCGGAGTTGAACCAGCGACCTTAGGATCACAGCGTTTCACACAAGGAGCATCTAACAGTGCACCTCTCTACCAACTGAGCTATCAAGGTGCTCTCTAGTCGCAAGTGCAGAAAACATAGTGGCTTCGGAGACACACTATGCCCACAGAACTATTCCAACCCATGGTCAATGAAAAGCCCAGCCCTACCTGCAGAACATAGCTTTGCAGTTTGTACCCAACAGTCATTGCCAGGGACCCAGAACTGATAATCAGAACTTTTAGGCTGGGTGAATAAAAAATTGATGGTTGAAAATTTAAGAAAGAGTTATCTTGTTTGTGTCTTTACATTTTGGAGGAGTTGACAGATAAAGACAAGGCTTGGGGGTATTTCCAATGACAAGGAGGTGCTTCCGGCTGGAGTTGAACCAGCGACGTTAGGATCACAGCGTTTCACACAAGGAGCATCTTACAGTCCACCGCTCTACCAACTGAGATATCAAGGTGCTCTCTAGTCACAAGTGCAGAAAACATAGTGGCTTCGGAGACACACTATGCCCACAGAACTATTCCAACCCATGGTCAATGAAAAGCCCAGCCCTACCTGACGAACAAAGCTTTGCAGTTTGTACCCAACAGTCATTGCCAGGGACCCAGAACTGATAATCAGGACTTTTAGGCTGGGTGAATAAAAAATTGATGGTTGAAAATTTAAGAAAGAGTTATCTTGTTTGTGTTTTTACATTTTGGAGGAGTTGACAGATAAAGACAAGGCTTGGGGGTATTTCCAATGACAAGGAGGTGCTTCCGGCTGGAGTTGAACCAGCGACCTTAGGATCACAGCGTTTCACACAAGGAGCATCTTACAGTGCACCGCTCTACCAACTGAGCTATCAAGGTGCTCTCTAGTCACAACTGCAGAAAACATAGTGGCTTCGAAGACACACTATGCCCACAGAACTATTCCAACCCATGGTCAATGAAAAGCCCAGCCCTACCTGACGAACAAAGCTTTGCAGTTTGTACCCAACAGTCATTGCCAGGGACCCAGAACTGATAATCAGGACTTTTAGGCTGGGTGAATAAAAAATTGATGGTTGAAAATTTAAGAAAGAGTTATCTTGTTTGTGTTTTTACATTTTGGAGGAGTTGACAGATAAAGACAAAGGTTGGGGGTATTTCCAATGACAAGGAGGTGCTTCCGGCTGGAGTTGAACCAGCGACGTTAGGATCACGGCATTTCACACAAGGAGCATCTTACAGTCCACCGCTCTACCAACTGAGCTATCAAGGTGCTCTCTAGTCACAAGTGCAGAAAACATAGTGGCTTCGAAGACACACTATGCCCACAGAACTATTCCAACCCATGGTCAATGAAAAGCCAAGCCCTACCTGACGAACAAAGCTTTGCAGTTTGTACCCAACAGTCATTGCCAGGGACCCAGAACTGATAATCAGGACTTTTAGGCTGGGTGAATAAAAAATTGATGGTTGAAAATTTAAGAAAGAGTTATCTTGTTTGTGTTTTTACATTTTGGAGGAGTTGACAGATAAAGACAAGGCTTGGGGGTATTTCCAATGACAAGGAGGTGTTTCCAGCTGGAGTTGAACCAGCGACCTTAGGATCACAGCGTTTCACACAAGGAGCATCTTACAGTCCACCGCTCTACCAACTGAGCTATCAAGGTGCTCTCTAGTCACAAGTGCAGAAAACATAGTGGCTTCGAAGACACACTATGCCCACAGAACTATTCCAACCCATGGTCAATGAAAAGCCCAGCCCTACCTGACGAACAAAGCTTTGCAGTTTGTACCCAACAGTCATTGCCAGGGACCCAGAACTGATAATCAGGACTTTTAGGCTGGGTGAATAAAAAATTGATGGTTGAAAATTTAAGAAAGAGTTATCTTGTTTGTGTTTTTACATTTTGGAGGAGTTGACAGATAAAGACAAAGGTTGGGGGTATTTCCAATGACAAGGAGGTGCTTCCGGCTGGAGTTGAACCAGCGAACTTAGGATCACGGCATTTCACACAAGGAGCATCTTACAGTCCACCGCTCTACCAACTGAGCTATCAAGGTGCTCTCTAGTCACAAGTGCAGAAAACATAGTGGCTTCGAAGACACACTATGCCCACAGAACTATTCCAACCCATGGTCAATGAAAAGCCCAGCCCTACCTGACGAACAAAGCTTTGCAGTTTGTACCCAACAGTCATTGCCAGGGACCCAGAACTGATAATCAGGACTTTTAGGCTGGGTGAATAAAAAATTGATGGTTGAAAATTTAAGAAAGAGTTATCTTGTTTGTGTTTTTACATTTTGGAGGAGTTGACAGATAAAGACAAGGCTTGGGGGTATTTCCAATGACAAGGAGGTGCTTCCAGCTGGAGTTGAACCAGCGACCTTAGGATCACAGCGTTTCACACAAGGAGCATCTTACAGTCCACCGCTCTACCAACTGAGCTATCAAGGTGCTCTCTAGTCACAAGTGCAGAAAACATAGTGGCTTCGAAGACACACTATGCCCACAGAACTATTCCAACCCATGGTCAATGAAAAGCCCAGCCCTACCTGACGAACAAAGCTTTGCAGTTTGTACCCAACAGTCATTGCCAGGGACCCAGAACTGATAATCAGGACTTTTAGGCTGGGTGAATAAAAAATTGATGGTTGAAAATTCAAGAAAGAGTTATCTTGTTTGTGTTTTTACATTTTGGAGGAGTTCACAGATAAAGACAAGGCTTGGGGGTATTTCCAATGACAAGGAGGTGCTTCCGGCTGGAGTTGAACCAGCGACCTTAGGATCACAGCGTTTCACACAAGGAGCATATTACAGTCGACTGCTCTACCAACTGAGCTATCAAGGTGCTCTCTAGTCACAAGTGCAGAAAACATAGTGGCTTCGAAGACACACTATGCCCACAGAACTATTCCAACCCATGGTCAATGAAAAGCCCAGCCCTACCTGACGAACAAAGCTTTGCAGTTTGTACCCAACAGTCATTGCCAGGGACCCAGAACTGATAATCAGGACTTTTAGGCTGGGTGAATAAAAAATTGATGGTTGAAAATTTAAGAAAGAGTTATCTTGTTTGTGTTTTTACATTTTGGAGGAGTTGACAGATAAAGACAAGGCTTGGGGGTATTTCCAATGACAAGGAGGTGCTTCCGGCTGGAGTTGAACCAGCGATCTTAGGATCACTGCGTTTCACACAAGGAGCATCTTACAGTCCACAGCTCTAACAACTGAGCTATCAAGGTGCCCTCTAGTCACAAGTGCAGAAAACATAGTGGCTTCGAAGACACACTATCCCCACAGAACTATTCCAACCCATGGTCAATGAAAAGCCCAGCCCTACCTGACGAACAAAGCTTTGCAGTTTGTACCCAACAGTCATTGCCAGGGACCCAGAACTGATAATCAGGACTTTTAGGCTGGGTGAATAAAAAATTGATGGTTGAAAATTTAAGAAAGAGTTATGTTGTTTGTGTTTTTACATTTTGGAGGAGTTGACAGATAAAGACAAGGCTTGGGGGTATTTCCAATGACAAGGAGGTGCTTCCGGCTGGAGTTGAACCAGCGACCTTAGGATCACGGCGTTTTACACAAGGAGCATCTTACAGTCCACCGCTCTACCAACTGAGCTATCAAGGTGCTCTCTAGCCACAAGTGCAGAAAACATAGTGGCTTCGAAGACACACTATGCCCACAGAACTATTCCAACCCATGGTCAATGAAAAGCCCAGCCCTACCTGACGAACAAAGCTTTGCAATTTGTACCCAACAGTCATTGCCAGGGACCCAGAACTGATAATCAGGACTTTTAGGCTGGGTGAATAAAAAATTGATGGTTGAAAATTTAAGAAAGAGTTATCTTGTTTGTGTTTTTACATTTTGGAGGAGTTTACAGATAAAGACAAGGCTTGGGGGTATTTCCAATGACAAGGAGGTGCTTCCGGCTGGAGTTGAACCAGCGACCTTAGGATAACTGCGTTTCACACAAGGAGCATCTTACAGTCGACTGCTCTACCAACTGAGCTATCAAGGTGCTCTCTAGTCACAAGTGCAGAAAACATAGTGGCTTCGAAGACACACTATGCCCACAGAACTATTCCAACCCATGGTCAATGAAAAGCCCAGCCCTACCTGCAGAACAAAGCTTTGCAGTTTGTACCCAACAGTCATTGCCAGGGACCCAGAACTGATAATCAGGACTTTTAGGCTGGGTGAATAAAAAATTGATGGTTGAAAATTTAAGAAAGAGTTATCTTGTTTGTGTTTTTACATTTTGGAGGAGTTGACAGATAAAGACAAGGCTTGGGGGTATTTCCAATGACAAGGAGGTGCTTCTGGCTGGAGTTGAACCAGCGACCTTAGGATCACAGCATTCCCCACAAGGAGCATCTTACAGTCCACCGCTCTACCAACTGAGCTATCAAGGTGCTCTCAAGTCACAAGTGCAGAAAACATAGTGGCTTCGAAGACACACTATGCCCACAGAACTATTCCAACCCATGGTCAATGAAAAGCCCAGCCCTACCTGACGAACAAAGCTTTGCAGTTTGTACCCAACAGTCATTGCCAGGGACCCAGAACTGATAATCAGGACTTTTAGGCTGGGTGAATAAAAAATTGATGGTTGAAAATTCAAGAAAGAGTTATCTTGTTTGTGTTTTTACATTTTGGAGGAGTTGACAGATAAAGACAAAGGTTGGGGGTATTTCCAATGACAAGGAGGTGCTTCCGGCTGGAGTTGAACCAGCGACCTTAGGATCACGGCATTTCACACAAGGAGCATCTTACAGTCCACCGCTCTACCAACTGAGCTATCAAGGTGCTCTCTAGTCACAAGTGCAGAAAACATAGTGGCTTCGAAGACACACTATGCCCACAGAACTATTCCAACCCATGGCCAGCAAAAGCCCAGCCCTACCTGACGAACAAAGCTTTGCAGTTTGTACCCAACAGTCATTGCCAGGGACCCAGAACTGATAATCAGGACTTTTAGGTTGGGTGAATAAAAAATTGATGGTTGAAAATTTAAGAAAGAGTTATCTTGTTTGTGTTTTTACATTTTGGAGGAGTTGACAGATAAAGACAAGGCTTAGGGGTATTTCCAATGACAAGGAGGTGCTTCCAGCTGGAGTTGAACCAGCGACCTTAGGATCACAGCGTTTCACACAAGGAGCATCTTACAGTCCACAGCTCTACCAACTAAGCTATCAAGGTGCTCTCTAGTCACAAGTGCAGAAAACATAGTGGCTTCGAAGACACACTATGCCCACAGAACTATTCCAACCCATGGTCAATGAAAAGCCCAGCCCTACCTGACGAACAAAGCTTTGCAGTTTGTACCCAACAGTCATTGCCAGGGACCCAGAACTGATAATCAGGACTTTTAGGCTGGGTGAATAAAAAATTGATGGTTGAAAATTTAAGAAAGAGTTAACTTGTTTGTGTTTTTACATTTTGGAGGAGTTGACAGATAAAGACAAGGCTTGGGGGAATTTCCAATGACAAGGAGGTGCTTCCTGCTGGAGTTGAACCAGCGACGTTAGGATCACAGCGTTTCACACAAGGAGCATCTTACAGTCCACTGCTCTACCAACTGAGCTATCAAGGTGCTCTATACTCACAAGTGCAGAAAACATAGTGGCTTCGAAGACACACTATGCCCACAGAACTATTCCAACCCATGGTCAATGAAAAGCCCAGCCCTACCTGCAGAACAAAGCTTTGCAGTTTGTACCCAACAGTCATTGCCAGGGACCCAGAACTGATAATCAGGACTTTTAGGCTGGGTGAATAAAAAATTGATGGTTGAAAATTTAAGAAAGAGTTATCTTGTTTGTGTTTTTACATTTTGGAGGAGTTGACAGATAAAGACAAGGCTTGGGGGTATTTCCAATGACAAGGAGGTGCTTCTGGCTGGAGTTGAACCAGCGACCTTAGGATCACAGCATTCCCCACAAGGAGCATCTTACAGTCCAACGCTCTACCAACTGAGCTATCAAGGTGCTCTCAAGTCACAAGTGCAGAAAACATAGTAGCTTCGAAGACACACTATGCCCACAGAACTATTCCAACCCATGGTCAATGAAAAGCCCAGCCCTACCTGACGAACAAAGCTTTGCAGTTTGTACCCAACAGTCATTGCCAGGGACCCAGAACTGATAATCAGGACTTTTAGGCTGGGTGAATAAAAAATTGATGGTTGAAAATTTAAGAAAGAGTTATCTTGTTTGTGTTTTTACATTTTGGAGGAGTTGACAGATAAAGACAAAGCTTGGGGGTATTTCCAATGACAAGGAGGTGCTACCGGCTGGAGTTGAACCAGCGACCTTAGGATCAAGGCATTTCACACAAGGAGCATCTTACAGTCGACCGCTCTACCAACTGAGCTATCAAGGTGCTCTCTAGTCACAAGTGCAGAAAACATAGTGGCTTCGAAGACACACTATGCCCACAGAACTATTCCAACCCATGGTCAATGAAAAGCCCAGCCCTACCTGACGAACAAAGCTTTGCAGTTTGTACCCAACAGTCATTGCCAGGGACCCAGAACTGATAATCAGGACTTTTAGGCTGGGTGAATAAAAAATTGATGGTTGAAAATTTAAGAAAGAGTTATCTTGTTTGTGTTTTTACATTTTGGAGGAGTTGACAGATAAAGACAAGGCTTGGGGGTTTTTCCAATGACAAGGAGGTGCTTCCGGCTGGAGTTGAACCAGCGACCTTAGGATCACAGCGTTTCACACAAGGAGCATCTTACAGTCCACCGCTCTACCAACTGAGCTATCAAGGTGCTCTCTAGTCACAAGTGCAGAAAACATAGTGGCTTCGAAGACACACTATGCCCACAGAACTATTCCAACCCATGGTCAATGAAAAGCCCAGCCCTACCTGACGAACAAAGCTTTGCAGTTTGTACCCAACAGTCATTGCCAGGGACCCAGAACTGATAATCAGGACTTTTAGGCTGGGTGAATAAAAAATTGATGGTTGAAAATTTAAGAAAGAGTTATCTTGTTTGTGTTTTTACATTTTGGAGGAGTTGACAGATAAAGACCAGGCTTGGGGGTATTTCCAATGACAAGGAGGTGCTTCCGGCTGGAGTTGAACGAGCGACCTTAGGATAACTGCGTTTCACACAAGGAGCATCTTACAGTCGACTGCTCTACCAACTGAGCTATCAAGGTGCTCTCTAGTCACAAGTGCAGAAAACATAGTGGCTTCGAAGACACACTATGCCCACAGAACTATTCCAACCCATGGTCAATGAAAAGCCCAGCCCTACCTGACGAACAAAGCTTTGCAGTTTGTACCCAACAGTCATTGCCAGGGACCCAGAACTGATAATCAGGACTTTTAGGCTGGGTGAATAAAAAATTGATGGTTGAAAATTTAAGAAAGAGTTATCTTGTTTGTGTTTTTACATTTTGGAGGAGTTGACAGATAAAGACAAAGGTTGGGGGTATTTCCAATGACAAGGAGGTGCTTCCGGCTGGAGTTGAACCAGCGACCTTAGGATCAAGGCATTTCACACAAGGAGCATCTTACAGTCCACCGCTCTACCAACTGAGCTATCAAGGTGCTCTCTAGTCACAAGTGCAGAAAACATAGTGGCTTCGAAGACACACTATGCCCACAGAACTATTCCAACCCATGGTCAATGAAAAGCCCAGCCCTACCTGACGAACAAAGCTTTGCAGTTTGTACCCAACAGTCATTGCCAGGAACCCAGAACTGATAATCAGGACTTTTAGGCTGGGTGAATAAAAAATTGATGGTTGAAAATTTAAGAAAGAGTTATCTTGTTTGCGTTTTTACATTTTGGAGGAGTTGACAGATAAAGACAAGGCTTGGGGGTATTTCCAATGACAAGGAGGTGCTTCCGGCTGGAGTTGAACCAGCGACCTTAGGATCACAGCGTTTCACACAAGGAGCATCTTACAGTCCACAGCTCTAACAACTGAGCTATCAAGGTGCTCTCTAGTCACAAGTGCAGAAAACATAGTGGCTTCGAAGACACACTATGCCCACAGAACTATTCCAACCCATGGTCAATGAAAAGCCCAGCCCTACCTGCAGAACAAAGCTTTGCAGTTTGTACCCAACAGTCATTGCCAGGGACCCAGAACTGATAATCAGGACTTTTAGGCTGGGTGAATAAAAAATTGATGGTTGAAAATTTAAGAAAGAGTTATCTTGTTTGTGTTTTTACATTTTGGAGGAGTTGACAGATAAAGACAAGGCTTGGGGGTATTTCCAATAACAAGGAGGTGCTTCCGGCTGGAGTTGAACCAGCGACCTTAGGATCACAGCGTTTCACACAAGGAGCATCTAACAGTCCACCGCTCTACCAACTGAGCTATCAAGGTGCTCTATACTCACAAGTGCAGAAAACATAGTGGCTTCGAAGACACACTATGCCCACAGAACTATTCCAACCCATGGTCAATGAAAAGCCCAGCCCTACCTGACGAACAAAGCTTTGCAGTTTGTACCCAACAGTCATTGCCAGGGACCCAGAACTGATAATCAGGACTTTTAGGCTGGGTGAATAAAAAATTGATGGTTGAAAATTTAAGAAAGAGTTATCTTGTTTGTGTTTTTACATTTTGGAGGAGTTGACAGATAAAGACAAGGCTTGGGGGGTATTTCCAATGACAAGGAGGTGCTTCCGGCGGAGTTGAACCAGCGACCTTAGGATCACAGCGTTTCACACAAGGAGCATCTAACAGTGCACCTCTCTACCAACTGAGCTATCAAGGTGCTCTCTAGTCGCAAGTGCAGAAAACATAGTGGCTTCGGAGACACACTATGCCCACAGAACTATTCCAACCCATGGTCAATGAAAAGCCCAGCCCTACCTGCAGAACATAGCTTTGCAGTTTGTACCCAACAGTCATTGCCAGGGACCCAGAACTGATAATCAGAACTTTTAGGCTGGGTGAATAAAAAATTGATGGTTGAAAATTTAAGAAAGAGTTATCTTGTTTGTGTCTTTACATTTTGGAGGAGTTGACAGATAAAGACAAGGCTTGGGGGTATTTCCAATGACAAGGAGGTGCTTCCGGCTGGAGTTGAACCAGCGACGTTAGGATCACAGCGTTTCACACAAGGAGCATCTTACAGTCCACCGCTCTACCAACTGAGATATCAAGGTGCTCTCTAGTCACAAGTGCAGAAAACATAGTGGCTTCGGAGACACACTATGCCCACAGAACTATTCCAACCCATGGTCAATGAAAAGCCCAGCCCTACCTGACGAACAAAGCTTTGCAGTTTGTACCCAACAGTCATTGCCAGGGACCCAGAACTGATAATCAGGACTTTTAGGCTGGGTGAATAAAAAATTGATGGTTGAAAATTTAAGAAAGAGTTATCTTGTTTGTGTTTTTACATTTTGGAGGAGTTGACAGATAAAGACAAGGCTTGGGGGTATTTCCAATGACAAGGAGGTGCTTCCGGCTGGAGTTGAACCAGCGACCTTAGGATCACGGCGTTTTACACAAGGAGCATCTTACAGTCCACAGCTCTAACAACTGAGCTATCAAGGTGCTCTCTAGTCACAAGTGCAGAAAACATAGTGGCTTCGAAGACACACTATGCCCACAGAACTATTCCAACCCATGGTCAATGAAAAGCCCAGCCCTACCTGCAGAACAAAGCTTTGCAGTTTGTACCCAACAGTCATTGCCAGGGACCCAGAACTGATAATCAGGACTTTTAGGCTGGGTGAATAAAAAATTGATGGTTGAAAATTTAAGAAAGAGTTATCTTGTTTGTGTTTTTACATTTTGGAGGAGTTGACAGATAAAGACAAGGCTTGGGGGTATTTCCAATAACAAGGAGGTGCTTCCGGCTGGAGTTGAACCAGCGACGTTAGGATCACAGCGTTTCACACAAGGAGCATCTAACAGTCCACCGCTCTACCAAATGAGCTATCAAGGTGCTCTATACTCACAAGTGCAGAAAACATAGTGGCTTCGAAGACACACTATGCCCACAGAACTATTCCAACCCATGGTCAATGAAAAGCCCAGCCCTACCTGACGAACAAAGCTTTGCAGTTTGTACCCAACAGTCATTGCCAGGGACCCAGAACTGATAATCAGGACTTTTAGGCTGGGTGAATAAAAAATTGATGGTTGAAAATTTAAGAAAGAGTTATCTTGTTTGTGTTTTTACATTTTGGAGGAGTTGACAGATAAAGACAAGGCTTGGGGGGTATTTCCAATGACAAGGAGGTGCTTCCGGCTGGAGTTGAACCAGCGACCTTAGGATCACAGCGTTTCACACAAGGAGCATCTAACAGTGCACCGCTCTACCAACTGGGCTATCAAGGTGCTCTCTAGTCGCAAGTGCAGAAAACATAGTGGCTTCGGAGACACACTATGCCCACAGAACTATTCCAACCCATGGTCAATGAAAAGCCCAGCCCTACCTGCAGAACATAGCTTTGCAGTTTGTACCCAACAGTCATTGCCAGGGACCCAGAACTGATAATCAGAACTTTTAGGCTGGGTGAATAAAAAATTGATGGTTGAAAATTTAAGAAAGAGTTATCTTGTTTGTGTTTTTACATTTTGGAGGAGTTGACAGATAAAGACAAGGCCTGGGGGTATTTCCAATGACAAGGAGGTGCTTCCGGCTGGAGTTGAACCAGCAACCTTAGGATCACAGCGTTTCACACAAGGAGCATCTTACAGTCCACCGCTCTACCAACTGAGCTATCAAGGTGCTCTCTAGTCACAAGTGCAGAAAACATAGTGGCTTCGGAGACACACTATGCCCACAGAACTATTCCAACCCATGGTCAATGAAAAGCCCAGCCCTACCTGCAGAACATAGCTTTGCAGTTTGTACCCAACAGTCATTGCCAGGGACCCAGAACTGATAATCAGAACTTTTAGGCTGGGTGAATAAAAAATTGATGGTTGAAAATTTAAGAAAGAGTTATCTTGTTTGTGTTTTTACATTTTGGAGGAGTTGACAGATAAAGACAAGGCTTGGGGGTATTTCCAATGACAAGGAGGTGCTTCCGGCTGGAGTTGAACCAGCGACCTTAGGATCACAGCGTTTCACACAAGGAGCATCTTACAGTCCACTGCTCTAACAACTGAGCTATCAAGGTGCTCTCTAGTCACAAGTGCAGAAAACATAGTGGCTTCGAAGACACACTATGCCCACAGAACTATTCCAACCCATGGTCAATGAAAAGCCCAGCCCTACCTGCAGAACAAAGCTTTGCAGTTTGTACCCAACAGTCATTGCCAGGGACCCAGAACTGATAATCAGGTCTTTTAGGCTGGGTGAATAAAAAATTGATGGTTGAAAATTTAAGAAAGAGTTATCTTGTTTGTGTTTTTACATTTTGGAGGAGTTGACAGATAAAGACAAGGCTTGGGGGTATTTCCAATGACAAGGAGGTGCTTCCGGCTGGAGTTGAACCAGCGACGTTAGGATCACAGCGTTTCACACAAGGAGCATCTTACAGTCCACTGCTCTACCAACTGAGCTATCAAGGTGCTCTATACTCACAAGTGCAGAAAACATAGTGGCTTCGAAGACACACTATGCCCACAGAACTATTCCAACCCATGGTCAATGAAAAGCCCAGCCCTACCTGACGAACAAAGCTTTGCAGTTTGTACCCAACAGTCATTGCCAGGGACCCAGAACTGATAATCAGGACTTTTAGGCTGGGTGAATAAAAAATTGATGGTTGAAAATTTAAGAAAGAGTTATCTTGTTTGTGTTTTTACATTTTGGAGGAGTTGACAGATAAAGACAAGGCTTGGGGGTATTTCCAATGACAAGGAGGTGCTTCCGGCTGGAGTTGAACCAGCGACCTTAGGATCACAGCGTTTCACACAAGGAGCATCTTACAGTCCACCGCTCTACCAACTGAGCTATCAAGGTGCTCTCTAGTCACAAGTGCAGAAAACATAGTGGCTTCGAAGACACACTATGCCCACAGAACTATTCCAACCCATGGTCAATGAAAAGCCCAGCCCTACCTGACGAACAAAGCTTTGCAGTTTGTACCCAACAGTCATTGCCAGGGACCCAGAACTGATAATCAGGACTTTTAGGCTGGGTGAATAAAAAATTGATGGTTGAAAATTTAAGAAAGAGTTATCTTGTTTGTGTTTTTACATTTTGGAGGAGTTGACAGATAAAGACAAGGCTTGGGGGTATTTCCAATGACAAGGAGGTGCTTCCGGCTGGAGTTGAACCAGCGACCTTAGGATCACAGCGTTTCACACAAGGAGCATCTTACAGTCCACCGCTCTACCAACTGAGCTATCAAGGTGCTCTCTAGTCACAAGTGCAGAAAACATAGTGGCTTCGAAGACACACTATGCCCACAGAACTATTCCAACCCATGGTCAATGAAAAGCCCAGCCCTACCTGACGAACAAAGCTTTGCAGTTTGTACCCAACAGTCATTGCCAGGGACCCAGAACTGATAATCAGGACTTTTAGGCTGGGTGAATAAAAAATTGATGGTTGAAAATTTAAGAAAGAGTTATCTTGTTTGTGTTTTTACATTTTGGAGGAGTTGACAGATAAAGACAAGGCTTGGGGGAATTTCCAGTGACAAGGAGGTGCTTCCGGCTGGAGTTGAACCAGCGACCTTAGGATAACAGGGTTTCACACAAGGAGCATCTTACAGTCCACCGCTCTACCAACTGAGCTATCAAGGTGCTCTCTAGTCACAAGTGCAGAAAACATAGTGGCTTCGAAGACACACTATGCCCACAGAACTATTCCAACCCATGGTCAATGAAAAGCCCAGCCCTACCTGACGAACAAAGCTTTGCAGTTTGTACCCAACAGTCATTGCCAGGGACCCCGAACTGATAATCAGGACTTTTAGGCTGGGTGAATAAAAAATTGATGGTTGAAAATTTAAGAAAGAGTTATCTTGTTTGTGTTTTTACATTTTGGAGGAGTTGACAGATAAAGACAAGGGTTGGGGGTATTTCCAATGACAAGGAGGTGCTTCCGGCTGGAGTTGAACCAGCGACATTAGGATCACAGCGTTTCACACAAGGAGCATCTAATAGTCCACAGCTCTACCAACTGAGCTATCAAGGTGCTCTATACTCACAAGTGCAGAAAAGATAGTGGCTTCGAAGACACACTATGCCCACAGAACTATTCCAACCCATGGTCAATGAAAAGCCCAGCCCTACCTGACGAACAAAGCTTTGCAGTTTGTACCCAACAGTCATTGCCAGGGACCCAGAACTGATAATCAGGACTTTTAGGCTGGGTGAATAAAAAATTGATGGTTGAAAATTTAAGAAAGAGTTATCTTGTTTGTGTTTTTACATTTTGGAGGAGTTGACAGATAAAGACAAGGCTTGGGGGTATTTCCAATGACAAGGAGGTGCTTCCGGTTGGAGTTGAACCAGCGACCTTAGGATCACAGCGTTTCACACAAGGAGCATCTTACAGTCCACCGCTCTACCAACTGAGCTATCAAGGTGCTCTCTAGTCACAAGTGCAGAAAACATAGTGGCTTCGAAGACACACTATGCCCACAGAACTATTCCAACCCATGGTCAATGAAAAGCCCAGCCCTACCTGCAGAACAAAGCTTTGCAGTTTGTACCCAACAGTCATTGCCAGGGACCCAGAACTGATAATCAGGACTTTTAGGCTGGGTGAATAAAAAATTGATGGTTGAAAATTTAAGAAAGAGTTATCTTGTTTGTGATTTTTACATTTTGGAGGAGTTGACAGATAAAGACAAGGCTTGGGGGTATTTCCAATGACAAGGAGGTGCTTCCGGCTGGAGTTGAACAAGCGACCTTAGGATCACAGCATTTCACACAAGGAGCATCTTACAGTCCACCGCTCTACCAACTGAGCTATCAAGGTGCTCTATACTCACAAGTGCAGAAAACATAGTGGCTTCGAAGACACACTATGCCCACAGAACTATTCCAACCCATGGTCAATGAAAAGCCCAGCCCTACCTGACGAACAAAGCTTTGCAGTTTGTACCCAACAGTCATTGCCAGGGACCCAGAACTGATAATCAGGACTTTTAGGCTGGGTGAATAAAAAATTGATGGTTGAAAATTTAAGAAAGAGTTATCTTGTTTGTGTTTTTACATTTTGGAGGAGTTGACAGATAAAGACAAGGCTTGGGGTGTATTTCCAATGACAAGGAGGTGCTTCCGGCGGAGTTGAACCAGCGACCTTAGGATCACAGCGTTTCACACAAGGAGCATCTAACAGTGCACCGCTCTACCAACTGAGCTATCAAGGTGCTCTCTAGTCGCAAGTGCAGAAAACATAGTGGCTTCGGAGACACACTATGCCCACAGAACTATTCCAACCCATGGTCAATGAAAAGCCCAGCCCTACCTGCAGAACATAGCTTTGCAGTTTGTACCCAACAGTCATTGCCAGGGACCCAGAACTGATAATCAGAACTTTTAGGCTGGGTGAATAAAAAATTGATGGTTGAAAATTTAAGAAAGAGTTATCTTGTTTGTGTTTTTACATTTTGGAGGAGTTGAAAGATAAAGACAAGGCTTGGGGGTATTTCCAATGACAAGGAGGTGCTTCCGGTTGGAGTTGAACCAGCAACCTTAGGATCACAGCGTTTTACACAAGGAGCATCTTACAGTCCACTGCTCTACCAACTGAGCTATCAAGGTGCTCTCTAGTCACAAGTGCAGAAAACATAGTGGCTTCGAAGACACACTATGCCCACAGAACTATTCCAACCCATGGTCAATGAAAAGCCCAGCCCTACCTGCAGAACAAAGCTTTGCAGTTTGTACCCAACAGTCATTGACAGGGACCCAGAACTGATAATCAGGACTTTTAGGCTGGGTGAATAAAAAATTGATGGTTGAAAATTTAAGAAAGAGTTATCTTGTTTGTGTTTTTACATTTTGGAGGAGTTGACAGATAAAGACAAGGCTTGGGGGTATTTCCAATGACAAGGAGGTGCTTCCGGCTGGAGTTGAACCAGCGACCTTAGGATCACAGCGTTTCACACAACGAGCATCTTACAGTCCACCGCTCTACCAACTGAGCTATCAAGGTGATCTCTAGTCACAAGTGCAGAAAACATAGTGGCTTCGAAGACACACTATGCCCACAGAACTATTCCAACCCATGGTCAATGAAAAGCCCAGCCCTACCTGACGAACAAAGCTTTGCAGTTTGTACCCAACAGTCATTGCCTGGGACCCAGAACTGATAATCAGGACTTTTAGGCTGGGTGAATAAAAAATTGATGGTTGAAAATTTAAGAAAGAGTTATCTTGTTTGTGTTTTAACATTTTGGAGGAGTTGACAGATAAAGACAAGGCTTGGGGGAATTTCCAGTGACAAGGAGGTGCTTCCGGCTGGAGTTGAACCAGCGACCTTAGGATAACAGGGTTTCACACAAGGAGCATCTTACAGTCCACCGCTCTACCAACTGAGCTATCAAGGTGCTCTCTAGTCACAAGTGCAGAAAACATAGTGGCTTCGAAGACACACTATGCCCACAGAACTATTCCAACCCATGGTCAATGAAAAGCCCAGCCCTACCTGACGAACAAAGCTTTGCAGTTTGTACCCAACAGTCATTGCCAGGGACCCAGAACTGATAATCAGGACTTTTAGGCTGGGTGAATAAAAAATTGATGGTTGAAAATTTAAGAAAGAGTTATCTTGTTTGTGTTTTTACATTTTGGAGGAGTTGACAGATAAAGACAAGGCTTGGGGGAATTTCCAGTGACAAGGAGGTGCTTCCGGCTGGAGTTGAACCAGCGACCTTAGGATAACAGGGTTTCACACAAGGAGCATCTTACAGTCCACCGCTCTACCAACTGAGCTATCAAGGTGCTCTCTAGTTGCAAGTGCAGAAAACATAGTGGCTTCGAAGACACACTATGCCCACAGAACTATTCCAACCCATGGTCAATGAAAAGCCCAGCCCTACCTGACGAACAAAGCTTTGCAGTTTGTACCCAACAGTCATTGCCAGGGACCCAGAACTGATAATCAGGACTTTTAGGCTGGGTGAATAAAAAATTGATGGTTGAAAATTTAAGAAAGAGTTATCTTGTTTGTGTTTTTACATTTTGGAGGAGTTGACAGATAAAGACAAGGCTTGGGGGTATTTCCAATGACAAGGAGGTGCTTCCGGTTGGAGTTGAACCAGCGACCTTAGGATCACAGCGTTTCACACAAGGAGCATCTTACAGTCCACCGCTCTACCAACTGAGCTATCAAGGTGCTCTCAAGTCACAAGTGCAGAAAACATAGTGGCTTCGAAGACACACTATGCCCACAGAACTATTCCAACCCATGGTCAATGAAAAGCCCAGCCCTACCTGCAGAACAAAGCTTTGCAGTTTGTACCCAACAGTCATTGCCAGGGACCCAGAACTGATAATCAGGACTTTTAGGCTGGGTGAATAAAAAATTGATGGTTGAAAATTTAAGAAAGAGTTATCTTGTTTGTGATTTTTACATTTTGGAGGAGTTGACAGATAAAGACAAAGGCTTGGGGGTATTTCCAATGACAAGGAGGTGCTTCCGGCTGGAGTTGAACCAGCGACCTTAGGATCACAGCGTTTCCCACAAGGAGCATCTTACAGTCCACCGCTCTACCAACTGAGCTATCAAGGTGCTCTATACTCACAAGTGCAGAAAACATAGTGGCTTCGAAGACACACTATGCCCACAGAACTATTCCAACCCATGGTCAATGAAAAGCCCAGCCCTACCTGACGAACAAAGCTTTGCAGTTTGTACCCAACAGTCATTGCCAGGGACCCGGCTGGGTGAATAAAAAATTGATGGTTGAAAATTTAAGAAAGAGTTATCTTGTTTGTGTTTTTACATTTTGGAGGAGTTGACAGATAAAGACAAGGCTTGGGGGTATTTCTAATGACAAGGAGGTGCTTCCGGCTGGAGTTGAACCAGCGACCTTAGGATCACAGCGTTTCACACAAGGAGCATCTTACAGTCCACCGCTCTACCAACTGAGCTATCAAGGTGCTCTCTAGTCACAAGTGCAGAAAACATAGTGGCTTCGGAGACACACTATGCCCACAGAACTATTCCAACCCATGGTCAATGAAAAGCCCAGCCCTACCTGCAGAACATAGCTTTGCAGTTTGTACCCAACAGTCATTGCCAGGGACCCAGAACTGATAATCAGAACTTTTAGGCTGGGTGAATAAAAAATTGATGGTTGAAAATTTAAGAAAGAGTTATCTTGTTTGTGTTTTTACATTTTGGAGGAGTTGACAGATAAAGACAAGGCTTGGGGGTATTTCCAATGACAAGGAGGTGCTTCCGGCTGGAGTTGAACCAGCGACCTTAGGATCACAGCGTTTCACACAAGGAGCATCTTACAGTCCACTGCTCTAACAAGTGAGCTATCAAGGTGCTCTCTAGTCACAAGTGCAGAAAACATAGTGGCTTCGAAGACACACTATGCCCACAGAACTATTCCAACCCATGGTCAATGAAAAGCCCAGCCCTACCTGCAGAACAAAGCTTTGCAGTTTGTACCCAACAGTCATTGACAGGGACCCAGAACTGATAATCAGGACTTTTAGGCTGGGTGAATAAAAAATTGATGGTTGAAAATTTAAGAAAGAGTTATCTTGTTTGTGTTTTTACATTTTGGAGGAGTTGACAGATAAAGACAAGGCTTGGGGGTATTTCCAATGACAAGGAGGTGCTTCCGGCTGGAGTTGAACCAGCGACCTTAGGATCACAGCGTTTCACACAAGGAGCATCTTACAGTCCACCGCTCTACCAACTGAGCTATCAAGGTGCTCTCTAGTCACAAGTGCAGAAAACATAGTGGCTTCGAAGACACACTATGCCCACAGAACTATTCCAACCCATGGTCAATGAAAAGCCCAGCCCTACCTGACGAACAAAGCTTTGCAGTTTGTACCCAACAGTCATTGCCAGGGACCCAGAACTGATAATCAGGACTTTTAGGCTGGGTGAATAAAAAATTGATGGTTGAAAATTTAAGAAAGAGTTATCTTGTTTGTGTTTTTACATTTTGGAGGAGTTGACAGATAAAGACAAGGCTTGGGGGAATTTCCAGTGACAAGGAGGTGCTTCCGGCTGGAGTTGAACCAGCGACCTTAGGATAACAGGGTTTCACACAAGGAGCATCTTACAGTCCACCGCTCTACCAACTGAGCTATCAAGGTGCTCTATACTCACAAGTGCAGAAAACATAGTGGCTTCGAAGACACACTATGCCCACAGAACTATTCCAACCCATGGTCAATGAAAAGCCCAGCCCTACCTGACGAACAAAGCTTTGCAGTTTGTACCCAACAGTCATTGCCAGGGACCCAGAACTGATAATCAGGACTTTTAGGCTGGGTGAATAAAAAATTGATGGTTGAAAATTTAAGAAAGAGTTATCTTGTTTGTGTTTTTACATTTTGGAGGAGTTGACAGATAAAGACAAGGCTTGAGGGGTAATTCCAATGACAAGGAGGTGCTTCCGGCTGGAGTTGAACCAGCGACCTTAGGATCACAGCGTTTCACACAAGGAGCATCTAACAGTGCACCGCTCTACCAACTGAGCTATCAAGGTGCTCTCTAGTCGCAAGTGCAGAAAACATAGTGGCTTCGGAGACACACTATGCCCACAGAACTATTCCAACCCATGGTCAATGAAAAGCCCAGCCCTACCTGCAGAACATAGCTTTGCAGTTTGTACCCAACAGTCATTGCCAGGGACCCAGAACTGATAATCAGAACTTTTAGGCTGGGTGAATAAAAAATTGATGGTTGAAAATTTAAGAAAGAGTTATCTTGTTTGTGTTTTTACATTTTGGAGGAGTTGACAGATAAAGACAAGGCTTGGGGGTATTTCCAATGACAAGGAGGTGCTTCCGGCTGGAGTTGAACCAGCGACCTTAGGATCAGAGCGTTTCACACAAGGAGCATCTTACAGTCCACCGCTCTACCAACTGAGCTATCAAGGTGCTCTCTAGTCACAAGTGCAGAAAACATAGTGGCTTCGAAGACACACTATGCCCACAGAACTATTCCAACCCATGGTCAATGAAAAGCCCAGCCCTACCTGACGAAGAAAGCTTTGCAGTTTGTACCCAACAGTCATTGCCAGGGACCCAGAACTGATAATCAGGACTTTTAGGCTGGGTGAATAAAAAATTGATGGTTGAAAATTTAAGAATGAGTTATCTTGTTTGTGTTTTTACATTTTGGAGGAGTTGACAGATAAAGACAAGGCTTGGGGGTATTTCCAATGACAAGGAGGTGCTTCCGGCTGGAGTTGAACCAGAGACATTAGGATCACAGCGTTTCACACAAGGAGCATCTAACAGTCCACCGCTCTACCAACTGAGCTAACAAGGTGGTCTATACTCACAAGTGCAGAAAACATAGTGGCTTCGAAGACACACTATGCCCACAGAACTATTCCCACCCATGGTCAATGAAAAGCCCAGCCCTACCTGACGAACAAAGCTTTGCAGTTTGTACCCAACAGTCATTGCCAGGGACCCAGAACTGATAATCAGGACTTTTAGGCTGGGTGAATAAAAAATTGATGGTTGAAAATTTAAGAAAGAGTTATCTTGTTTGTGCTTTTACATTTTGGAGGAGTTGACAGATAAAGACAAGGCTTGGGGGTATTTCCAATGACAAGGAGGTGCTTCCGGCTGGAGTTGAACCAGCGACCTTAGGATCACAGCGTTTCACACAAGGAGCATCTTACAGTCCACCGCTCTACCAACTGAGCTATCAAGGTGCTCTCTAGTCACAAGTGCAGAAAACATAGTGGCTTCGAAGACACACTATGCCCACAGAACTATTCCAACCCATGGTCAATGAAAAGCCCAGCCCTACCTGACGAACAAAGCTTTGCAGTTTGTACCCAACAGTCATTGCCAGGGACCCAGAACTGATAATCAGGACTTTTAGGCTGGGTGAATAAAAAATTGATGGTTGAAAATTTAAGAAAGAGTTATATTGTTTGAGTTTTTACATTTTGGAGGAGTTGACAGATAAAGACAAGGCTTGGGGGTATTTCCAATGACAAGGAGGTGCTTCCGGCTGGAGTTGAACCAGCGACATTAGGATCACAGCGTTTCACACAAGGAGCATCTAACAGTCCACCGCTCTACCAACTGAGCTATCAAGGTGGTCTATACTCACAAGTGCAGAAAAGATAGTGGCTTCGAAGACACACTATGCCCACAGAACTATTCCAACCCATGGTCAATGAAAAGCCCAGCCCTACCTGACGAACAAAGCTTTGCAGTTTGTACCCAACAGTCATTGCCAGGGACCCAGAACTGATAATCAGGACTTTTAGGCTGGGTGAATAAAAAATTGATGGTTGAAAATTTAAGAAAGAGTTATCTTGTTTGTGTTTTTACATTTTGGAGGAGTTGACAGATAAAGACAAGGCTTGGGGGTATTTCCAATGACAAGGAGGTGCTTCCGGCTGGAGTTGAACCAGCGACATTAGGATCACAGCGTTTCACACAAGGAGCATCTTACAGTCCACCGCTCTACCAACTGAGCTATGAAGGTGCTCTCTAGTCGCAAGTGCAGAAAACATAGTGGCTTCGAAGACACACTATGCCCACAGAACTATTCCAACCCATGGTCAATGAAAAGCCCAGCCCTACCTGACGAACAAAGCTTTGCAGTTTGTACCCAACAGTCATTGCCAGGGACCCAGAACTGATAATCAGGACTTTTAGGCTGGGTGAATAAAAAATTGATGGTTGAAAATTTAAGAAAGAGTTATCTTGTTTGTGTTTTTACATTTTGGAGGAGTTGACAGATAAAGACAAGGCTTGGGGGTATTTCCAATGACAAGGAGGTGCTTCCGGCTGGAGTTGAACCAGTGACCTTAGGATCACAGCGTTTCACACAAGGAGCATCTTACAGTGCACCGCTCTACCAACTGAGCTATCAAGGTGCTCTCTAGTCACAAGTGCAGAAAACATAGTGGCTTCGAAGACACACTATGCCCACAGAACTATTCCAACCCATGGTCAATGAAAAGCCCAGCCCTACCTGCAGAACAAAGCTTTGCAGTTTGTACCCAACAGTCATTGCCAGGGACCCAGAACTGATAATCAGGACTTTTAGGCTGGGTGAATAAAAAATTGATGGTTGAAAATTTAAGAAAGAGTTATCTTGTTTGTGATTTTTACATTTTGGAAGAGTTGACAGATAAAGACAAGGCTTGGGGGTATTTCCAATGACAAGGAGGTGCTTCCGGCTGGAGTTGAACAAGCGACCTTAGGATCACAGCGTTTCCCACAAGGAGCATCTTACAGTGCACCGCTCTACCAACTGAGCTATCAAGGTGCTCTCTAGTCACAAGTGCAGAAAACATAGTGGCTTCGAAGACACACTATGCCCACAGAACTATTCCAACCCATGGTCAATGAAAAGCCCAGCCCTACCTGCAGAACAAAGCTTTGCAGTTTGTACCCAACAGTCATTGCCAGGGACCCAGAACTGATAATCAGGACTTTTAGGCTGGGTGAATCAAAAATTGATGGTTGAAAATTTAAGAAAGAGTTATCTTGTTTGTGATTTTTACATTTTGGAGGAGTTGACAGATAAAGACAAGGCTTGGGGGTATTTCCAATGACAAGGAGGTGCTTCCGGCTGGAGTTGAACAAGCGACCTTAGGATCACAGCGTTTCCCACAAGGAGCATCTTACAGTCCACCGCTCTACCAACTGAGCTATCAAGGTGCTCTCTAGTCACAAGTGCAGAAAACATAGAGGCTTCGAAGACACACTATGCCCACAGAACTATTCCAACCCATGGTCAATGAAAAGCCCAGCCCTACCTGACGAACAAAGCTTTGCAGTTTGTACCCAACAGTCATTGCCAGGGACCCAGAACTGATAATCAGGACTTTTAGGCTGGGTGAATAAAAAATTGATGGTTGAAAATTTCAGAAAGAGTTATTTGTTTGTGTTTTTACATTTTGGAGGAGTTGACAGATAAAGACAAGGCTTGGGGGTATTTCCAATGACAAGGAGGTGCTTCCGGCTGGAGTTGAACCAGCGACCTTAGGATAACAGCGTTTCACACAAGGAGCATCTGACAGTCCACCGCTCTACCAACTGAGCTGTCAAGATGCTCTCTAGTCACAAGTGCAGAAAACATAGTGGCTTCGAAGACACACTATGCCCACAGAACTATTCCAACCCATGGTCAATGAGAAGCCCAGCCCTACCTGCAGAACAAAGCTTTGCAGTTTGTACCCAACAGTCATTGCCAGGGACCCAGAACTGATAATCAGGACTTTTAGGCTGGGTGAATAAAAAATTGATGGTTGAAAATTTAAGAAAGAGTTATTTGTTTGTGTTTTTACATTTTGGAGGAGTTGACAGATAAAGACAAGGCTTGGGGGTATTTCCAATGACAAGGAGGTGCTTCCGGCTGGAGTTGAACCAGCGACCTTAGGATCACAGCGTTTCACACAAGGAGCATCTTACAGTCCACCGCTCTACCAACTGAGCTATCAAGGTGCTCTCTAGTCACAAGTGCAGAAAACATAGTGGCTTCGAAGACACACTATGCCCACAGAACTATTCCAACCCATGGTCAATGAAAAGCCCAGCCCTACCTGCAGAACAAAGCTTTGCAGTTTGTACCCAACAGTCATTGCCAGGGACCCAGAACTGATAATCAGGACTTTTAGGCTGGGTGAATAAAAAATTGATGGTTGAAAATTTAAGAGTTATCTTGTTTGTGTTTTTACATTTTGGAGGAGTTGACAGATAAAGACAAGGCTTGGGGGTATTTCGAATGACAAGGAGGTGCTTCCGGCTGGAGTTGAACCAGCAACCTTAGGATCACAGCGTTTCACACAAGGAGAATCTTACAGTCCACCGCTCTACCAACTGAGCTATCAAGGTGCTCTCTAGTCACAAGTGCAGAAAACATAGTGGCTTCGAAGACACACTATGCCCACAGAACTATTCCAACCCATGGTCAATGAAAAGCCCAGCCCTACCTGACGAACAAAGCTTTGCAGTTTGTACCCAACAGTCATTGCCAGGGACCCAGAACTGATAATCAGGACTTTTAGGCTGGGTGAATAAAAAATTGATGGTTGAAAATTTAAGAAAGAGTTATCTTGTTTGTGTTTTTACATTTTGGAGGAGTTGACAGATAAAGACAAGGCCTTGGGGTATTTCCAATGACAGAGAGGTGCTTCCGGCTGGAGTTGAACCAGCCACCTTAGGATCACAGCGTTTCACACAAGGAGCATCTTACAGTCCACCGCTCTACCAACTGAGCTATCAAGGTGCTCTCTAGTCACAAGTGCAGAAAACATAGTGGCTTCGAAGACACACTATGCCCACGGAACTATTCCAACCCATGGTCAATGAAAAGCCCAGCCCTACCTGACGAACAAAGCTTTGCAGTTTGTACCCAACAGTCATTGCCAGGGACCCAGAACTGATAATCAGGACTTTTAGGCTGGGTGAATAAAAAATTGATGGTTGAAAATTTAAGAAAGAGTTATCTTGTTTGTGTTTTTACATTTTGGAGGAGTTGACAGATAAAGACAAGGCTTGGGGGTATTTCCAATGAGAAGGAGGTGCTTCCGGCTGGAGTTGAACCAGCGACCTTAGGATCACAGCGTTTCACACAAGGAGCATCTTACAGTCCACCGCTCTACCAACTGAGCTATCAAGGTGCTCTCTAGTCACAAGTGCAGAAAACATAGTGGCTTCGAAGACACACTATGCCCACAGAACTATTCCAACCCATGGTCAATGAAAAGCCCAGCCCTACCTGACGAACAAAGCTTTGCAATTTGTACCCAACAGTCATTGCCAGGGACCCAGAACTGATAATCAGGACTTTTAGGCTGGGTGAATAAAAAATTGATGGTTGAAAATTTAAGAAAGAGTTATATTGTTTGAGTTTTTACATTTTGGAGGAGTTGACAGATAAAGACAAGGCTTGGGGGTATTTCCAATGACAAGGAGGTGCTTCCGGCTGGAGTTGAACCAGCGACATTAGGATCACAGCGTTTCACACAAGGAGCATCTAACAGTCCACCGCTCTACCAACTGAGCTATCAAGGTGCTCTATACTCACAAGTGCAGAAAAGATAGTGGCTTCGAAGACACACTATGCCCACAGAACTATTCCAACCCATGGTCAATGAAAAGCCCAGCCCTACCTGACGAACAAAGCTTTGCAGTTTGTACCCAACAGTCATTGCCAGGGACCCAGAACTGATAATCAGGACTTTTAGGCTGGGTGAATAAAAAATTGATGGTTGAAAATTTAAGAAAGAGTTATCTTGTTTGTGTTTTTACATTTTGGAGGAGTTGACAGATAAAGACAAGGCTTGGGGGTATTTCCAATGACAAGGAGGTGCTTCCGGCTGGAGTTGAACCAGCAACCTTAGGATCACAGCGTTTCACACAAGGAGCATCTTACAGTCCACCGCTCTACCAACTGATCTATAAAGGTGCTCTCTACTCAAAAGTGCAGAAAACATAGTGGCTTCGAAGACACACTATGCCCACAGAACTATTCCAACCCATGGTCAATGAAAAGCCCAGCCCTACCTGCAGAACAAAGCTTTGCAGTTTGTACCCAACAGTCATTGCCAGGGACCCAGAACTGATAATCAGGACTTTTAGGCTGGGTGAATAAAAAATTGATGGTTGAAAATTTAAGAAAGAGTTATATTGTTTGAGTTTTTACATTTTGGAGGAGTTGACAGATAAAGACAAGGCTTGGGGGTATTTCCAATGACAAGGAGGTGCTTCCGGCTGGAGTTGAACCAGCGACATTAGGATCACAGCGTTTCACACAAGGAGCATCTAACAGTCCACCGCTCTACCAACTGAGCTATCAAGGTGCTCTATACTCACAAGTGCAGAAAAGATAGTGGCTTCGAAGACACACTATGCCCACAGAACTATTCCAACCCATGGTCAATGAAAAGCCCAGCCCTACCTGACGAACAAAGCTTTGCAGTTTGTACCCAACAGTCATTGCCAGGGACCCAGAACTGATAATCAGGACTTTTAGGCTGGGTGAATAAAAAATTGATGGTTGAAAATTTAAGAAAGAGTTATCTTGTTTGTGTTTTTACATTTTGGAGGAGTTGACAGATAAAGACAAGGCTTGGGGGTATTTCCAATGACAAGGAGGTGCTTCCGGCTGGAGTTGAACCAGCGACCTTAGGATCACAGCGTTTCACACAAGGAGCATCTTACAGTCCACCGCTCTACCAACTGAACTATAAAGGTGCTCTCTACTCAAAAGTGCAGAAAACATAGTGGCTTCGAAGACACACTATGCCCACAGAACTATTCCAACCCATGGTCAATGAAAAGCCCAGCCCTACCTGCAGAACAAAGCTTTGCAGTTTGTACCCAACAGTCATTGCCAGGGACCCAGAACTGATAATCAGGACTTTTAGGCTGGGTGAATAAAAAATTGATGGTTGAAAATTTAAGAAAGAATTATCTTGTTTGTGTTTTTACATTTTGGAGGAGTTGATAGATAAAGACAAGGCTTGGGGGTATTTCCAATGACAAGGAGGTGCTTCCGGCTGGAGTTGAACCAGCGACCTTAGGATCACAGCGTTTCACACAAGGAGCATCTTACAGTCCACCGCTCTAACAACTGAGCTATCAAGGTGCTCTCTAGTCACAAGTGCAGAAAACATAGTGGCTTCGAAGACACACTATGCCCACAGAACTATTCCAACCCATGGTCAATGAAAAGCCCAGCCCTACCTGACGAACAAAGCTTTGCAGTTTGTACCCAACAGTCATTGCCAGGGACCCAGAACTGATAATCAGGACTTTTAGGCTGGGTGAATAAAAAATTGATGGTTGAAAATTTAAGAAAGAGTTATCTTGTTTGTGTTTTTACATTTTGGAGGAGTTGACAGATAAAGACAAGGCTTGGGGGTATTTCCAATAACAAGGAGGTGCTTCCGGCTGGAGTTGAAACAGCGACCTTAGGATCACAGCGTTTCACACAAGGAGCATCTAACAGTCCACCGCTCTACCAACTGAGCTATCAAGGTGCTCTCTAGTCACAAGTGCAGAAAACATAGTGGCTTCGAAGACACACTATGCCCACAGAACTATTCCAACCCATGGTCAATGAAAAGCCCAGCCCTACCTGACGAACAAAGCTTTGCAGTTTGTACCCAACAGTCATTGCCAGGGACCCAGAACTGATAATCAGGACTTTTAGGCTGGGTGAATAAAAAATTGATGGTTGAAAATTTAAGAAAGAGTTATCTTGTTTGTGATTTTTACATTTTGGAGGAGTTGACAGATAAAGACAAGGCTTGGGGGTATTTCCAATGACAAGGAGGTGCTTCCGGCTGGAGTTGAACAAGCGACCTTAGGATCACAGCGTTTCCCACAAGGAGCATCTTACAGTCCACCGCTCTACCAACTGAGCTATCAAGGTGCTCTCTAGTCACAAGTGCAGAAAACATAGAGGCTTCGAAGACACACTATGCCCACAGAACTATTCCAACCCATGGTCAATGAAAAGCCCAGCCCTACCTGACGAACAAAGCTTTGCAGTTTGTACCCAACAGTCATTGCCAGGGACCCAGAACTGATAATCAGGACTTTTAGGCTGGGTGAATAAAAAATTGATGGTTGAAAATTTAAGAAAGAGTTATCTTGTTTGTGTTTTTACATTTTGGAGGAGTTGACAGATAAAGAAAGGCTTGGGGGTATTTCGAATGACAAGGAGGTGCTTCCGGCTGGAGTTGAACCAGCGACCTCAGGATCACAGCGTTTCACACAAGGAGCATCTTACAGTCCACCGCTCTACCAACTGAGCTATCAAGGTGCGCTCTAGTCACAAGTGCAGAAAACATAGTGGCTTCGAAGACACACTATGCCCACAGAACTATTCCAACCCATGGTCAATGAAAAGCCCAGCCCTACCTGACGAACAAAGCTTTGCAGTTTGTACCCAACAGTCATTGCCAGGGACCCAGAACTGATAATCAGGACTTTTAGGCTGGGTGAATAAAAAATTGATGGTTGAAAATTGAAGAAAGAGTTATATTGTTTGTGTTTTTACATTTTGGAGGAGTTGACAGATAAAGACAAGGCTTGGGGGTATTTCGAATGACAAGGAGGTGCTTCCGGCTGGAGTTGAACCAGCGACCTTAGGATCACAGCGTTTCACACAAGGAGCATCTTACAGTCCACCGCTCTACCAACTGAGCTATCAAGGTGCTCTCTAGTCACAAGTGCAGAAAACATAGTGGCTTCGAAGACACACTATGCCCACAGAACTATTCCAACCCATGGTCAATGAAAAGCCCAGCCCTACCTGACGAACAAAGCTTTGCAGTTTGTACCCAACAGTCATTGCCAGGGACCCAGAACTGATAATCAGGACTTTTAGGCTGGGTGAATAAAAAATTGATGGTTGAAAATTTAAGAAAGAGTTATCTTGTTTGTGTTTTTACATTTTGGAGGAGTTGACAGATAAAGACAAGGCTTGGGGGTATTTCGAATGACAAGGAGGTGCTTCCGGCTGGAGTTGAACCAGCGACCTTAGGATCACAGCGTTTCACACAAGGAGCATCTTACAGTCCACCGCTCTACCAACTGAGCTATCAAGGTGCTCTCTAGTCACAAGTGCAGAAAACATAGAGGCTTCGAAGACACACTATGCCCACAGAACTATTCCAACCCATGGTCAATGAAAAGCCCAGCCCTACCTGACGAACAAAGCTTTGCAGTTTGTACCCAACAGTCATTGCCAGGGATCCAGAACTGATAATCAGGACTTTTAGGCTGGGTGAATAAAAAATTGATGGTTGAAAATTTAAGAAAGTGTCATCTTGTTTGTGTTTTTACATTTTGGAGGAGTTGACAGATAAAGACAAGGCTTGGGGGGTATTTCCAATGACAAGGAGGTGCTTCCGGCGGAATTGAACCAGCGAGCTTAGGATCACAGCGTTTCACACAAGGAGCATCTTACAGTCCACCGCTGTACCAACTGAGCTATCAAGGTGCTCTCTAGTCGCAAGTGCAGAAAACATAGTGGCTTCGGAGACACACTATGCCCACAGAACTATTCCAACCCATGGTCAATGAAAAGCCCAGCCCTACCTGCAGAACAAAGCTTTGCAGTTTGTACCCAACAGTCATTGCCAGGGACCCAGAACTGATAATCAGAACTTTTAGGCTGGGTGAATAAAAAATTGATGGTTGAAAATTTAAGAAAGAGTTATCTTGTTTGTGTTTTTACATTTTGGAGGAGTTGACAGATAAAGACAAGGCTTGGGGGTATTTCCAATGACAAGGAGGTGCTTCCGGCTGGAGTTGAACCAGTGACCTTAGGATCACAGCGTTTCACACAAGGAGCATCTTACAGTCCACCGCTCTACCAAATGAGCTAACAAGGTGCTCTATAATCACAAGTGCAGAAAACATAGTGGCTTCGAAGACACACTATGCCCACAGAACTATTCCAACCCATGGTCAATGAAAAGCCCAGCCCTACCTGCAGAACAAAGCTTTGCAGTTTGTACCCAACAGTCATTGCCAGGGACCCAGAACTGATAATCAGGACTTTTAGGCTGGGTGAATAAAAAATTGATGGTTGAAAATTTAAGAAAGAATTATCTTGTTTGTGTTTTTACATTTTGGAGGAGTTGATAGATAAAGACAAGGCTTGGGGGTATTTCCAATGACAAGGAGGTGCTTCCGGCTGGAGTTGAACCAGCGACCTTAGGATCACAGCGTTTCACACAAGGAGCATCTTACAGTCCACCGCTCTAACAACTGAGCTATCAAGGTGCTCTCTAGTCACAAGTGCAGAAAACATAGTGGCTTCGAAGACACACTATGCCCACAGAACTATTCCAACCCATGGTCAATGAAAAGCCCAGCCCTACCTGACGAACAAAGCTTTGCAGTTTGTACCCAACAGTCATTGCCAGGGACCCAGAACTGATAATCAGGACTTTTAGGCTGGGTGAATAAAAAATTGATGGTTGAAAATTTAAGAAAGAGTTATCTTGTTTGTGTTTTTACATTTTGGAGGAGTTGACAGATAAAGACAAGGCTTGGGGGTATTTCCAATGACAAGGAGGTGCTTCCGGCTGGAGTTGAACCAGCAACCTTAGGATCACAGCGTTTCACACAAGGAGCATCTTACAGTCCACCGCTCTACCAACTGAACTATAAAGGTGCTCTCTACTCAAAAGTGCAGAAAACATAGTGGCTTCGAAGACACACTATGCCCACAGAACTATTCCAACCCATGGTCAATGAAAAGCCCAGCCCTACCTGCAGAACAAAGCTTTGCAGTTTGTACCCAACAGTCATTGCCAGGGACCCAGAACTGATAATCAGGACTTTTAGGCTGGGTGAATAAAAAATTGATGGTTGAAAATTTAAGAAAGAGTTATATTGTTTGAGTTTTTACATTTTGGAGGAGTTGACAGATAAAGACAAGGCTTGGGGGTATTTCCAATGACAAGGAGGTGCTTCCGGCTGGAGTTGAACCAGCGACATTAGGATCACAGCGTTTCACACAAGGAGCATCTAACAGTCCACCGCTCTACCAACTGAGCTATCAAGGTGCTCTATACTCACAAGTGCAGAAAAGATAGTGGCTTCGAAGACACACTATGCCCACAGAACTATTCCAACCCATGGTCAATGAAAAGCCCAGCCCTACCTGACGAACAAAGCTTTGCAGTTTGTACCCAACAGTCATTGCCAGGGACCCAGAACTGATAATCAGGACTTTTAGGCTGGGTGAATAAAAAATTGATGGTTGAAAATTTAAGAAAGAGTTATCTTGTTTGTGTTTTTACATTTTGGAGGAGTTGACAGATAAAGACAAGGCTTGGGGGTATTTCCAATGACAAGGAGGTGCTTCCGGCTGGAGTTGAACCAGCGACCTTAGGATCACAGCGTTTCACACAAGGAGCATCTTACAGTCCACCGCTCTACCAACTGAACTATAAAGGTGCTCTCTACTCAAAAGTGCAGAAAACATAGTGGCTTCGAAGACACACTATGCCCACAGAACTATTCCAACCCATGGTCAATGAAAAGCCCAGCCCTACCTGCAGAACAAAGCTTTGCAGTTTGTACCCAACAGTCATTGCCAGGGACCCAGAACTGATAATCAGGACTTTTAGGCTGGGTGAATAAAAAATTGATGGTTGAAAATTTAAGAAAGAATTATCTTGTTTGTGTTTTTACATTTTGGAGGAGTTGATAGATAAAGACAAGGCTTGGGGGTATTTCCAATGACAAGGAGGTGCTTCCGGCTGGAGTTGAACCAGCGACCTTAGGATCACAGCGTTTCACACAAGGAGCATCTTACAGTCCACCGCTCTAACAACTGAGCTATCAAGGTGCTCTCTAGTCACAAGTGCAGAAAACATAGTGGCTTCGAAGACACACTATGCCCACAGAACTATTCCAACCCATGGTCAATGAAAAGCCCACCCCTACCTGACGAACAAAGCTTTGCAGTTTGTACCCAACAGTCATTGCCAGGGACCCAGAACTGATAATCAGGACTTTTAGGCTGGGTGAATAAAAAATTGATGGTTGAAAATTTAAGAAAGAGTTATCTTGTTTGTGTTTTTACATTTTGGAGGAGTTGACAGATAAAGACAAGGCTTGGGGGTATTTCCAATAACAAGGAGGTGCTTCCGGCTGGAGTTGAAACAGCGACCTTAGGATCACAGCGTTTCACACAAGGAGCATCTAACAGTCCACCGCTCTACCAACTGAGCTATCAAGGTGCTCTCTAGTCACAAGTGCAGAAAACATAGTGGCTTCGAAGACACACTATGCCCACAGAACTATTCCAACCCATGGTCAATGAAAAGCCCAGCCCTACCTGACGAACAAAGCTTTGCAGTTTGTACCCAACAGTCATTGCCAGGGACCCAGAACTGATAATCAGGACTTTTAGGCTGGGTGAATAAAAAATTGATGGTTGAAAATTTAAGAAAGAGTTATCTTGTTTGTGATTTTTACATTTTGGAGGAGTTGACAGATAAAGACAAGGCTTGGGGGTATTTCCAATGACAAGGAGGTGCTTCCGGCTGGAGTTGAACAAGCGACCTTAGGATCACAGCGTTTCCCACAAGGAGCATCTTACAGTCCACCGCTCTACCAACTGAGCTATCAAGGTGCTCTCTAGTCACAAGTGCAGAAAACATAGAGGCTTCGAAGACACACTATGCCCACAGAACTATTCCAACCCATGGTCAATGAAAAGCCCAGCCCTACCTGACGAACAAAGCTTTGCAGTTTGTACCCAACAGTCATTGCCAGGGACCCAGAACTGATAATCAGGACTTTTAGGCTGGGTGAATAAAAAATTGATGGTTGAAAATTTAAGAAAGAGTTATCTTGTTTGTGTTTTTACATTTTGGAGGAGTTGACAGATAAAGAAAGGCTTGGGGGTATTTCGAATGACAAGGAGGTGCTTCCGGCTGGAGTTGAACCAGCGACCTCAGGATCACAGCGTTTCACACAAGGAGCATCTTACAGTCCACCGCTCTACCAACTGAGCTATCAAGGTGCGCTCTAGTCGCAAGTGCAGAAAACATAGTGGCTTCGAAGACACACTATGCCCACAGAACTATTCCAACCCATGGTCAATGAAAAGCCCAGCCCTACCTGACGAACAAAGCTTTGCAGTTTGTACCCAACAGTCATTGCCAGGGACCCAGAACTGATAATCAGGACTTTTAGGCTGGGTGAATAAAAAATTGATGGTTGAAAATTGAAGAAAGAGTTATATTGTTTGTGTTTTTACATTTTGGAGGAGTTGACAGATAAAGACAAGGCTTGGGGGTATTTCCAATGACAAGGAGGTGCTTCCGGCTGGAGTTGAACCAGCGACCTTAGGATCACAGCGTTTCACACAAGGAGCATCTTACAGTCCACCGCTCTACCAACTGAGCTATCAAGGTGCTCTCTAGTCACAAGTGCAGAAAACATAGTGGCTTCGAAGACACACTATGCCCACAGAACTATTCCAACCCATGGTCAATGAAAAGCCCAGCCCTACCTGACGAACAAAGCTTTGCAGTTTGTACCCAACAGTCATTGCCAGGGACCCAGAACTGATAATCAGGACTTTTAGGCTGGGTGAATAAAAAATTGATGGTTGAAAATTTAAGAAAGAGTTATCTTGTTTGTGTTTTTACATTTTGGAGGAGTTGACAGATAAAGACAAGGCTTGGGGGTATTTCGAATGACAAGGAGGTGCTTCCGGCTGGAGTTGAACCAGCGACCTTAGGATCACAGCGTTTCACACAAGGAGCATCTTACAGTCCACCGCTCTACCAACTGAGCTATCAAGGTGCTCTCTAGTCACAAGTGCAGAAAACATAGAGGCTTCGAAGACACACTATGCCCACAGAACTATTCCAACCCATGGTCAATGAAAAGCCCAGCCCTACCTGACGAACAAAGCTTTGCAGTTTGTACCCAACAGTCATTGCCAGGGACCCAGAACTGATAATCAGGACTTTTAGGCTGGGTGAATAAAAAATTGATGGTTGAAAATTTAAGAAAGTGTCATCTTGTTTGTGTTTTTACATTTTGGAGGAGTTGACAGATAAAGACAAGGCTTGGGGGTATTTCCAATGACAAGGAGGTGCTTCCGGCGGAATTGAACCAGCGAGCTTAGGATCACAGCGTTTCACACAAGGAGCATCTTACAGTCCACCGCTGTACCAACTGAGCTATCAAGGTGCTCTCTAGTCGCAAGTGCAGAAAACATAGTGGCTTCGGAGACAAACTATGCCCACAGAACTATTCCAACCCATGGTCAATGAAAAGCCCAGCCCTACCTGCAGAACAAAGCTTTGCAGTTTGTACCCAACAGTCATTGCCAGGGACCCAGAACTGATAATCAGAACTTTTAGGCTGGGTGAATAAAAAATTGATGGTTGAAAATTTAAGAAAGAGTTATCTTGTTTGTGTTTTTACATTTTGGAGGAGTTGACAGATAAAGACAAGGCTTGGGGGTATTTCCAATGACAAGGAGGTGCTTCCGGCTGGAGTTGAACCAGTGACCTTAGGATCACAGCGTTTCACACAAGGAGCATCTTACAGTCCACCGCTCTACCAAATGAGCTAACAAGGTGCTCTATAATCACAAGTGCAGAAAACATAGTGGCTTCGAAGACACACTATGCCCACAGAACTATTCCAACCCATGGTCAATGAAAAGCCCAGCCCTACCTGCAGAACAAAGCTTTGCAGTTTGTACCCAACAGTCATTGCCAGGGACCCAGAACTGATAATCAGGACTTTTAGGCTGGGTGAATAAAAAATTGATGGTTGAAAATTTAAGAAAGAGTTATCTTGTTTGTGTTTTTACATTTTGGAGGAGTTGACAGATAAAGACAAGGCTTGGGGGTATTTCCAATGACAAGGAGGTGCTTCCGGCTGGAGTTGAACCAGCGACCTTAGGATCACAGCGTTTCACACAAGGAGCATCTAACAGTCCACCGCTCTACCAACTGAGCTATCAAGGTGCTCTATACTCACAAGTGCAGAAAACATAGTGGCTTCGAAGACACACTATGCCCACAGAACTATTCCAACCCATGGTCAATGAAAAGCCCAGCCCTACCTGCAGAACAAAGCTTTGCAGTTTGTACCCAACAGTCATTGCCAGGGACCCAGAACTGATAATCAGGACTTTTAGGCTGGGTGAATAAAAAATTGATGGTTGAAAATTTAAGAAAGAGTTATCTTGTTTGTGATTTTTACATTTTGGAGGAGTTGACAGATAAAGACAAGGCTTGGGGGTATTTCCAATGACAAGGAGGTGCTTCCGGCTGGAGTTGAACAAGCGACCTTAGGATCACAGCGTTTCACACAAGGAGCATCTTACAGTCCACCGCTCTACCAAATGAGCTAACAAGGTGCTCTATAATCACAAGTGCAGAAAACATAGTGGCTTCGAAGACACACTATGCCCACAGAACTATTCCAACCCATGGTCAATGAAAAGCCCAGCCCTACCTGACGAACAAAGCTTTGCAGTTTGTACCCAACAGTCATTGCCAGGGACCCAGAACTGATAATCAGGACTTTTAGGCTGGGTGAATAAAAAATTGATGGTTGAAAATTTAAGAAAGAGTTATCTTGTTTGTGTTTTTGCATTTTGGAGGAGTTGACAGATAAAGACAAGGCTTGGGGGTATTTCCAATGACAAGGAGGTGCGGAGTTGAACCAGCGACCTTAGGATCACAGCGTTTCACACAAGGAGCATCTTACAGTCCACCGCTCTACCAACTGAGCTATCAAGGTGCTCTCTAGTCACAAGTGCAGAAAACATAGTGGCTTCGAAGACACACTATGCCCACAGAACTATTCCAACCCATGGTCAATGAAAAGCCCAGCCCTACCTGACGAACAAAGCTTTGCAGTTTGTACCCAACAGTCATTGCCAGGGACCCAGAACTGATAATCAGGACTTTTAGGCTGGGTGAATAAAAAATTGATGGTTGAAAATTTAAGAAAGAGTTATCTTGTTTGTGTTTTTACATTTTGGAGGAGTTGACAGATAAAGACAAGGCTTGGGGGTATTTCCAATGACAAGGAGGTGCTTCCGGCTGGAGTTGAACCAGCGACCTTAGGATCACAGCGTTTCACACAAGGAGCATCTTACAGTCCACCGCTCTACCAACTGAGCTATCAAGGTGCTCTCTAGTCACAAGTGCAGAAAACATAGTGGCTTCGAAGACACACTATGCCCACAGAACTATTCCAACCCATGGTCAATGAAAAGCCCAGCCCTACCTGACGAACAAAGCTTTGCAGTTTGTACCCAACAGTCATTGCCAGGGACCCAGAACTGATAATCAGGACTTTTAGGCTGGGTGAATAAAAAATTGATGGTTGAAAATTTAAGAAAGAGTTATCTTGTTTGTGTTTTTACATTTTGGAGGAGTTGACAGATAAAGACAAGGCTTGGGGGTATTTCCAATGACAAGGAGGTGCTTCCGGCTGGAGTTGAACCAGCGACCTTAGGATCACAGCGTTTCACACAAGGAGCATCTTACAGTCCACCGCTCTACCAACTGAGCTATCAAGGTGCTCTCTAGTCACAAGTGCAGAAAACATAGTGGCTTCGAAGACACACTATGCCCACAGAACTATTCCAACCCATGGTCAATGAAAAGCCCAGCCCTACCTGACGAACAAAGCTTTGCAGTTTGTACCCAACAGTCATTGCCAGGGACCCAGAACTGATAATCAGGACTTTTAGGCTGGGTGAATAAAAAATTGATGGTTGAAAATTTAAGAAAGAGTTATCTTGTTTGTGTTTTTACATTTTGGAGGAGTTGACAGATAAAGACAAGGCTTGGGGGTATTTCCAATGACAAGGAGGTGCTTCCGGCTGGAGTTGAACCAGCGACCTTAGGATCACAGCGTTTCACACAAGGAGCATCTTACAGTCCACCGCTCTACCAACTGAGCTATCAAGGTGCTCTCTAGTCACAAGTGCAGAAAACATAGTGGCTTCGAAGACACACTATGCCCACAGAACTATTCCAACCCATGGTCAATGAAAAGCCCAGCCCTACCTGACGAACAAAGCTTTGCAGTTTGTACCCAACAGTCATTGCCAGGGACCCAGAACTGATAATCAGGACTTTTAGGCTGGGTGAATAAAAAATTGATGGTTGAAAATTTAAGAAAGAGTTATCTTGTTTGTGTTTTTACATTTTGGAGGAGTTGACAGATAAAGACAAGGCTTGGGGGTATTTCCAATGAAAAGGAGGTGCTTCCGGCTGGAGTTGAACCAGCGACCTTAGGATCACAGCGTTTCACACAAGGAGCATCTTACAGTCCACCGCTCTACCAACTGAGCTATCAAGGTGCTCTGTAGTCACAAGTGCAGAAAACATAGTGGCTTCGAAGACACACTATGCCCACAGAACTATTCCAACCCATGGTCAATGAAAAGCCCAGCCCTACCTGACGAACAAAGCTTTGCAGTTTGTACCCAACAGTCATTGCCAGGGACCCAGAACTGATCATCAGGACTTTTAGGCTGGGTGAATAAAAAATTGATGGTTGAAAATTTAAGAAAGAGTTATCTTGTTTGTGTTTTTACATTTTGGAGGAGTTGACAGATAAAGACAAGGCTTGGGGGTATTTCCAATGACAAGGAGGTGCTTCCGGCGGAGTTGAACCAGCGACCTTAGGATCACAGCGTTTCACACAAGGAGCATCTTACAGTCCACCGCTCTACCAACTGAGCTATCAAGGTGCTCTCTAGTCACAAGTGCAGAAAACATAGTGGCTTCGAAGACACACTATGCCCACAGAACTATTCCAACCCATGGTCAATGAAAAGCCCAGCCCTACCTGCAGAACAAAGCTTTGCAGTTTGTACCCAACAGTCATTGCCAGGGACCCAGAACTGATAATCAGGACTTTTAGGCTGGGTGAATAAAAAATTGATGGTTGAAAATTTAAGAAAGAGTTATCTTGTTTGTGTTTTTACATTTTGGAGGAGTTGACAGATAAAGACAAGGGTTGGGGGTATTTCCAATGACAAGGAAGTGGTTCCGGCCGGAGTTGAACCAGCGACCTTACGATCACAGCGTTTCACCCAAGGAGCATCTTATAGTTCCACCGCTCTACCAACTGAGCTATCAAGGTGCTCTCTAGTCACAAGTGCAGAAAACATAGTGGCTTCGAAGACACACTATGCCCACAGAACTATTCCAACCCATGGTCAATGAAAAGCCCAGCCCTACCTGACGAACAAAGCTTTGCAGTTTGTACCCAACAGTCATTGCCAGGGACCCAGAACTGATAATCAGGACTTTTAGGCTGGGTGAATAAAAAATTGATGGTTGAAAATTTAAGAAAGAGTTATCTTGTTTGTGTTTTTACATTTTGGAGGAGTTGACAGATAAAGACAAGGCTTGGGGGTATTTCCAATGACAAGGAGGTGCTTCCGGCTGGAGTTGAACCAGCGACCTTAGGATCACAGCGTTTCACACAAGGAGCATCTTACAGTCCACCGCTCTACCAACTGAGCTATCAAGGTGCTCTCTAGTCACAAGTGCAGAAAACATAGTGGCTTCGAAGACACACTATGCCCACAGAACTATTCCAACCCATGGTCAATGAAAAGCCCAGCCCTACCTGCAGAACAAAGCTTTGCAGTTTGTACCCAACAGTCATTGCCAGGGACCCAGAACTGATAATCAGGACTTTTAGGCTGGGTGAATAAAAAATTGATGGTTGAAAATTTAAGAAAAATTTATCTTGTTTGTGTTTTTACATTTTGGAGGAGTTGACAGATAAAGACAAGGCTTGGGGGTATTTCCAATGACAAGGAGGTGCTTCCGGCTGGAGTTGAACCAGCGACCTTAGGATCACAGCGTTTCACACAAGGAGCATCTTACAGTCCACCGCTCTACCAACTGAGCTATCAAGGTGCTCTCTAGTCACAAGTGCAGAAAACATAGTGGCTTCGAAGACACACTATGCCCACAGAACTATTCCAACCCATGGTCAATGAAAAGCCCAGCCCTACCTGCAGAACAAAGCTTTGCAGTTTGTACCCAACAGTCATTGCCAGGGACCCAGAACTGATAATCAGGACTTTTAGGCTGGGTGAATAAAAAATTGATGGTTGAAAATTTAAGAAAGAGTTATCTTGTTTGTGTTTTTACATTTTGGAGGAGTTGACAGATAAAGACAAGGCTTGGGGGTATTTCCAATGACAAGGAGGTGCTTCCGGCTGGAGTTGAACCAGCAACCTTAGGATCACAGCGTTTCACACAAGGAGCATCTTACAGTCCACCGCTCTACCAACTGAGCTATCAAGGTGCTCTCTAGTCACAAGTGCAGAAAACATAGTGGCTTCGAAGACACACTATGCCCACAGAACTATTCCAACCCATGGTCAATGAAAAGCCCAGCCCTACCTGACGAACAAAGCTTTGCAGTTTGTACCCAACAGTCATTGCCAGGGACCCAGAACTGATAATCAGGACTTTTAGGCTGGGTGAATAAAAAATTGATGGTTGAAAATTTAAGAAAGAGTTATCTTGTTTGTGTTTTTACATTTTGGAGGAGTTGACAGATAAAGACAAGGCTTGGGGGTATTTCCAATGACAAGGAGGTGCTTCCGGTGGAGTTGAACCAGCAACCTTAGGATCACAGCGTTTCACACAAGGAGCATCTTACAGTCCACCGCTCTACCAACTGAGCTATCAAGGTGCTCTCTAGTCACAAGTGCAGAAAACATAGTGGCTTCGAAGACACACTATGCCCACAGAACTATTCCAACCCATGGTCAATGAAAAGCCCAGCCCTACCTGACGAACAAAGCTTTGCAGTTTGTACCCAACAGTCATTGCCAGGGACCCAGAACTGATAATCAGGACTTTTAGGCTGGGTGAATAAAAAATTGATGGTTGAAAATTTAAGAAAGAGTTATCTTGTTTGTGTTTTTACATTTTGGAGGAGTTGACAGATAAAGACAAGGCTTGGGGGTATTTCCAATGACAAGGAGGTGCTTCCGGCTGGAGTTGAACCAGCGACCTTAGGATCACAGCGTTTCACACAAGGAGCATCTTACAGTCCACCGCTCTACCAACTGAGCTATCAAGGTGCTCTCTAGTCACAAGTGCAGAAAACATAGTGGCTTCGAAGACACACTATGCCCACAGAACTATTCCAACCCATGGTCAATGAAAAGCCCAGCCCTACCTGCAGAACAAAGCTTTGCAGTTTGTACCCAACAGTCATTGCCAGGGACCCAGAACTGATAATCAGGACTTTTAGGCTGGGTGAATAAAAAATTGATGGTTGAAAATTTAAGAAAGAGTTATCTTGTTTGTGTTTTTACATTTTGGAGGAGTTGACAGATAAAGACAAGGCTTGGGGGTATTTCCAATGACAAGGAGGTGCTTCCGGCTGGAGTTGAACCAGCAACCTTAGGATCACAGCGTTTCACACAAGGAGCATCTTACAGTCCACCGCTCTACCAACTGAGCTATCAAGGTGCTCTCTAGTCACAAGTGCAGAAAACATAGTGGCTTCGAAGACACACTATGCCCACAGAACTATTCCAACCCATGGTCAATGAAAAGCCCAGCCCTACCTGACGAACAAAGCTTTGCAGTTTGTACCCAACAGTCATTGCCAGGGACCCAGAACTGATAATCAGGACTTTTAGGCTGGGTGAATAAAAAATTGATGGTTGAAAATTTAAGAAAGAGTTATCTTGTTTGTGTTTTTACATTTTGGAGGAGTTGACAGATAAAGACAAGGCTTGGGGGTATTTCCAATGACAAGGAGGTGCTTCCGGCTGGAGTTGAACCAGCGACCTTAGGATCACAGCGTTTCACACAAGGAGCATCTTACAGTCCACCGCTCTACCAACTGAGCTATCAAGGTGCTCTCTACTCACAAGTGCAGAAAACATAGTGGCTTCGAAGACACACTATGCCCACAGAACTATTCCAACCCATGGTCAATGAAAAGCCCAGCCCTACCTGCAGAACAAAGCTTTGCAGTTTGTACCCAACAGTCATTGCCAGGGACCCAGAACTGATAATCAGGACTTTTAGGCTGGGTGAATAAAAAATTGATGGTTGAAAATTTAAGAAAGCGTTATCTTGTTTGTGTTTTTACATTTTGGAGGAGTTGACAGATAAAGACAAGGCTTGGGGGTATTTCCAATGACAAGGAAGTGCTTCGGGCTGGAGTTGAACCAGCGACCTTAGGATCACAGCGTTTCACACAAGGAGCATCTTACAGTCCACCGCTCTAACAATTGAGCTATCAAAGTGCTCTCTACTCACAAGTGCAGAAAACATAGTGGCTTCGAAGACACACTATGCCCACAGAACTATTCCAACCCATGGTCAATGAAAAGCCCAGCCCTACCTGCAGAACAAAGCTTTGCAGTTTGTACCCAACAGTCATTGCCAGGGACCCAGAACTGATAATCAGGACTTTTAGGCTGGGTGAATAAAAAATTGATGGTTAAAAATTTAAGAAAGAGTTATCTTGTTTGTGTTTTTACATTTTGGAGGAGTTGACAGATAAAGACAAGGCTTGGGGGTATTTCCAATGACAAGGAGGTGCTTCCGGCTGGAGTTGAACCAGCGACCTTAGGATCACAGCGTTTCACACAAGGAGCATCTTACAGTCCACCGCTCTACCAACTGAGCTATCAAGGTGCGCTCTAGTCACAAGTGCAGAAAACATAGTGGCTTCGAAGACACACTATGCCCACAGAACTATTCCAACCCATGGTCAATGAAAAGCCCAGCCCTACCTGCAGAACAAAGCTTTGCAGTTTGTACCCAACAGTCATTGCCAGGGACCCAGAACTGATAATCAGGACTTTTAGGCTGGGTGAATAAAAAATTGATGGTTGAAAATTTAAGAAAGAGTTATCTCGTTTGTGTTTTTACATTTTGGAGGAGTTGACAGATAAAGACAAGGCTTGGGGGTATTTCCAATGACAAGGAGGTGCTTCCGGCTGGAGTTGAACCAGCGACCTTAGGATCACAGCTTTTCACACAAGGAGCATCTTACAGTCCACCGCTCTACCAACTGAGCTATCAAGGTGCTCTATACTCACAAGTGCAGAAAACATAGTGGCTTCGAAGACACACTATGCCCACAGAACTATTCCAACCCACGGTCAATGAAAAGCCCAGCCCTACCTGCAGAATTAAGCTTTGCAGTTTGTACCCAACAGTCATTGCCGGGACCCAGAACTGATAATCAGGACTTTTAGGCTGGGTGAATAAAAAATTGATGGTTGAAAATTTTAGAAAGAGTTATCTTGTTTGTGTTTTTACATTTTGGAGGAGTTGACAGATAAAGACAAGGCTTGGGGGTATTTCCAATGACGAGGAGGTGCTTGCGCCTGGAGTTGAACCAGCAACCTTAGGATCACAGCGTTTCACACAAGGAGCATCTTACAGTCCACCGCTCTACCAACTGAGCTATCAAGGTGCTCTATACTCACAAGTGCTGAAAACATAGTGGCTTCGAAGACACACTATGCCCACAGAACTATTCCAACCCATGGTCAATGAAAAGCCCAGCCCTACCTGCAGAACAAAGCTTTGCAGTTTGTACCCAACAGTCATTGCCAGGGACCCAGAACTGATAATCAGGACTTTTAGGCTGGGTGAATAAAAAATTGATGGTCGGAATATCAAAGAGGAGTTATTTTGTTTGTATTTTTAAATTTTGGAGGAATTCACAAATGAAGACAAGGCTTGGCATTATTTCAACTTAATTAAAACTTGAACATTGCTCACACCAATGAAATGCACGTGCTTCCAAGTGGGAGTTGAAACAGCAACCTTCGCATCACAGCATTTCATATGAGGAGCTTCCTACAGTCCTCCGCTCTACCAACTGAGCTATGAAGGCGCTCCATACTTACAACTGCAGAAAACATAGTGGCTGAGACGACACACTTTGCCCACACAACTAATCCACCCACATGGTCAATGAAAAGCCCAGCCCTACCTGCAGAACAAAGCTTTGCAGTTTGTACCCAACAGTCATTGCCAGGGACCCAGAACTGATAATCAGGACTTTTAGGCTGGGTGAATAAAAAATTGATGGTTGAAAATTTAAGAAAGAGTTATCTCGTTTGTGTTTTTACATTTTGGAGGAGTTGACAGATAAAGACAAGGCTTGGGGGTATTTCCAATGACAAGGAGGTGCTTCCGGCTGGAGTTGAACCAGCGACGTTAGGATCACAGCGTTTCACACAAGGAGCATCTTACAGTCTACCAGTCTACCAACTGAGCTATCAAGGTGCTCTATACTCACAAGTGCAGAAAACATAGTGGCTTCGAAGACACACTATGCCCACAGAACTATTCCAACCCACGGTCAATGAAAAGCCCAGCCCTACCTGCAGAATTAAGCTTTGCAGTTTGTACCCAACAGTCATTGCCAGGGACCCAGAACTGATAATCAGGACTTTTAGGCTGGGTGAATAAAAAATTGATGGTTGAAAATTTTAGAAAGAGTTATCTTGTTTGTGTTTTTACATTTTGGAGGAGTTGACAGATAAAGACAAGGCTTGGGGGTATTTCCAATGACGAGGAGGTGCTTGCGCCTGGAGTTGAACCAGCAACCTTAGGATCACAGCGTTTCACACAAGGAGCATCTTACAGTCCACCGCTCTACCAACTGAGCTATCAAGGTGCTCTCTACTCACAAGTGCAGAAAACATAGTGGCTTCGAAGACACACTATGCCCACAGAACTATTCCAACCCATGGTCAATGAAAAGCCCAGCCCTACCTGCAGAACAAAGCTTTGCAGTTTGTACCCAACAGTCATTGCCAGGGACCCAGAACTGATAATCAGGACTTTTAGGCTGGGTGAATAAAAAATTGATGGTCGGAATATCAAAGAGGAGTTATTTTGTTTGTATTTTTAAATTTTGGAGGAATTCACAAATGAAGACAAGGCTTGGCATTATTTCAACTTAATTAAAACTTGAACATTGCTCACACCAATGAAATGCACGTGCTTCCAACTGGGAGTTGAACCAGCAACCTTCGCATCACAGCATTTCATATGAGGAGCTTCCTACAGTCCTCCGCTCTACCAACTGAGCTATGAAGGCGCTCCATACTTACAACTGCAGAAAACATAGTGGCTGAGACGACACACTTTGCCCACACAACTAATCCACCCACATGGTCAATGAAAAGCCCAGCCCTACCTTCAGAACAGAGCTTCACAGTTTGTACCCAACAGTCATTGCCAGGGACCAAGAACTGGTAATCAGGACTTTTAGGCTGGGTGAATAAAAAATTGATGGTTGGAATATCAAGGAGGACTTATCTTTTCACATTTTGGAGGAGTTCACAGATGAAGAGAAGTATTGGCCTTATTTCAATGCAATTCGAACTTGAACATTGCTCACACCAATGAAATGCACGTGCTTCGAGCTGGAGTCTAACCAGCGACCTTCGCATCACAGCATTTCATATGAGGAATTTCCTGCAGCCCTCCGCTCTACCAACTGAGCTATGAAGGTGGTCTCTAGTCACAACTGCAGAAAACATAGTTGCTGAGACGACACACTCAAAAAAATGTGTGGTTGAAACATCAAGAACAGGGCCGGATTATGGGGGGTCTGGGCCCCGGGGCCAGGAGTTTGCAAGCCCCCCCCCCTACACTCCGAACCCCCACCCCCGCACCAACCTACCGTACCCAAGGATTCTATAAAAGTTTCTTTCTGCTCTTCCTTCTTGTAATGTCGTCCACTAACTCAAAGTTGAGCTGTCGAACAAACTCTGATTCTATTGCAATTAGTGTGAGTGAATTCAACCGATTTTGGCACATTTTCATCCTGAGCTCATTTTTTATTTGAGCCAGTCAAAGACAAGAAGAGTTTACTCCTGTATTAGTGGAAAAGAGAGGAGCAATGGTCAGGCAGAGTGCAATTTTCTTGAGTGAATATGAAGGGCACCAGCATGCTTTCGGTAGGTATCAGTGAAATCCCAGCAGATCTTTTTCTTTCTTGGTCCCTATCCACCAAGGTCTGGTTTGGCTCCTTGTTTGTCAGTTTCACAGCTCACAAGACAAGGATTTCCCATTTTATCCACACAATTAAAATTTTTTTATGGTTATTATTATTATTATTTTTTACTTTCATGGTGGCCTCTTAAAATCTCTGATCTGTTGACTCCAGGCTTGGCCCCTCTCACCATGATGATATGTTTGTATGGATAGAGGAAAACATGATCCAGCATCAAAATGGAGTGGGTATCTGTTGCACAAGACTCTGTTTTGCTGCAGCTGAGACAGAACATAGCAGCAAGGCAGCAGAACCAGTGGAATAAAACAAATTGACTAAAGTAAAAACCTATCTGCTTCACAGCTGAGGTGGGATGGAGACTGACCAAACACAGATCTGGTGGCATTTGAGTTTTACAGTCTCTGGACATTTTTTCTCAATTGCTCATAGGATATGGGGTGTTATAACATACATATGCATCATAATAAGAAATAAACAAAACAGTGAAATGATAACACAGCTCCATCCCAATACATGTCCGGAAGCGTGTAACGTGGTTATCTGATGATTGTATTTCTCTCTTCCTCCTTTTCTTTGTGCTGCAGGTTAGTACTCACATGCAGTCTCATCTTAGCCTGAGATGTATTTTTTTCTAATGATAGCTTTTATGTTTTTTGTGCTGAATTACATGATAAAGATGTGAGCAAAAACAGCTATTTAGAGTCTTTCTTGTTCCATAGCTGAAATTCTCATATATTACGAGCCATTTTGGCCAACATTAAAGAATTATAAACTCTAACCCACTCAAATTCAAACACTGTGAAGTGGTTGTACAGGTTTGCCCTCTTTTTGATATCATGTGCAAAAACAGAAATCTGGTTTAGGTGGTTTGAGCCTTTGTGTAGTTTTAAAGGGAGTAATCAAAGTCAAATTCGGCCTGTTTTGAAAGTCCTATTCTACATGTATGTGCATTATGTTTTAATGCTGTCTTCAATATCTCCTGTATCGCTTGTATCCAGCTGATTGACACCTGCACCTCCAAGTGTCAATCTCCTTGTTTGCTCGGACTGAAGCACAGCTGAGTCCAGGGGGTCTTATATTAGATTAATGCTTAGAGAGAGCAATCTTTGTTGAGGCTTGAGGCCTATCTTTGCAGTGGATGCTACTTGAGATGACCGCCTGTGCATCAAGTTAATATTGAGCTTTATTAGCTTGTGGATCATGCATGTATGTTTGTTTGAATGCATGAAACAGTCCCAGCTGCTACTTGGCTTAATAACTTTCATTCCCTATTACGATATAATTTAATGCCTCTACGGCTCCATCAAGATCAAGAAAATCTGATTGGCTGCGCTCTTCAGGATCCCCTCCTATCGATCTCCGCTTCATGCAATTTCATTTCAAAAGCTGTCAACAAAGCCTTAGTGGCACAATTTATGATGCTAACTGAATCTGAGCAGCTAGCTACCTGCACATTAAAAACATGATTCCTTTTCTGGATAAGGCCATGCAGTCTTAGCCTGTGAGCATATTGATGTTGGCATTTCATTCATGGACTCCTCACGGTGCATCATGAGGTATTATAGAGTAGATATTCTGATGAATAATGCAAAAGCAGATAACAGTGCACATTGTTTTAGAAATGAAACCTACTGTCGTCATAAAGATAAACTCCTATGCAAGGATTTTGCTTCTTGTGCTGCATTTTCCCCTGTCTTTTTGTCTTATCTTTAAGTCCTTTTTTTGTTTAAAGGAAATTCAGAAACCACACTTGGAAAAGGAGTTTATTTGCACCCTAATGTTGTTTCACACTTATCACTGCCACTAAAATGGGATGAGATAAATTCTATCAGGTGAACGCTGCTGGGGATTAGAAGCTTGGTTTTGAAAACGTATCAGCGTGACATTGCACATGGATTTTCAGTCCCCTGAGTGCTTCTTCAAGCAGGTTTTCCATTGGTCTGTCCATGTCTAATGCTTTTGTGAGAGAGGGAATACAATGTATCACTGCTAATTCTACAAGATAACATGTTAATGCAAGAACGCTGCTCACAAAAAGGACCTGAGGCAGCAAGGCACCTCACAGGTTAGTACCAGATGATTTAATCCTACCATACAAAAGAGTTCGATCAGCCTCAGGCTGCTCAGGACACCGGCTGAGAGAGCTTTACTTCCATCGCGCAGTTCAGAAACACATCCAGCTACACACACAAACCAATATCCTCCAAAGGGCCCCCCTGTGGGGTTTGCAGATTGTTGTATGTGTCCAAGGGATCAGGGATGTAACAGGCTTGTTTACACTGAGAGGAGGATGGAGCTCACCACAGCCAGCTGCTTTGCACCACTTCAGCAGATACACCCTCATTCTCCTCTTATGTTACTTATTTCCCTGCTGCTGATGACAGACTCACTTGAACCTCCTCAGCTGTTCTTGCACTGCGTTTCCAGCCTTGATTTCTTAAAAAAAAAAAAAAAAGTCATTGTCGGTAAATAAATGGCAGCAGTCTTACTGACACTGATGCAGATGCAGAACAAAGCTCATGCATATGTGTGAGTGCCTTTTAGCAGGTGTCTGCAGATCTTGATCTGCTCTTGACTCCTGTCATCGCAATCACGATGCAATACTCCCCATACAAGAGTGTCGCAGTCTGCCTGTATCAAATCAAGAAGCTGAATGCTGCTGGACAAGTCATTGACACAGCTGCTTCGTTCCAATATCTCTGATGACTTCATCACCACTGGCTACACTAAAAACCCAATGCATACTAATAGCTTGAAGATCAACTACATGTTATCCCCTCTGGAGAAATGGCTTCTTGTTGAATTGGCCTAGAACATTGATGTCAACATCGTAAATATGAGGCATCACTCTGTTGTGACAAAACATACAAACTGCTAACCCCAAGTTTGTCAGGCCTGCCCTTTATTGGGTATAAAAGAGCAGTGTGCATGATCTGAGGCTCCCTCAAGAGCAGAATGGCCGAGTATTATAAACTGAGGAGCTAGCCTGGTGATGACCATATCTGGACCCCACCCACCTATTTAACCCACAGTCCACAGAGAACATAGGATTATCTAAAAGGACATTCAACAAACAAACAACCCCATGGGACAGTAATTGTTTGTTACATGACATGAAGATTAAAGAGATATCCAGCGTAAATTTAAGTTATGGTCAAACACACCGTAACACTGAGTTAGACACACCCTCGAGAGATGAATGTTGCCGACTGCTTGCTTCTCTGGTTATACCAACTTTAGTAATGACGATAGCGATAGCAATACACAGTGGTCTATGTCTCCACGTGCAAACCTCAACCATAAAGCCACTCTATAGCAACAAGTAATGCTTAGAACAGCGCCTAACTTCATCAACAGTACATATAGAGTCCCAGCCATAGTACTAGCCATCAAACATCTTTTTAGTTTTGCCTGATTTCTTCAGCAAAGAGACCAAACACAACTCACCCACTCTCCTCCAGCAGCCGCTTGTTTGTGGGGGGAGCCCTGACAAGTCTATCACCGAGTGCAGCAGTTTCACAGCTCAAGGAAGAACATTTATGATTATTACTTAATGGAAATGCAATCAGAGTTCTTGTGTATCTTGTATGTGCACTGCAGATGTGGTAGTTCTGCTCCTGATTGCATTTCCATGAATTAATAATCATAAATTTCCTCTGCACTCTGTGATCAACTTGTTTGACCATAACTTAAATTTATGCCAGAATATCCCTTAAAATCACGGCACCAAAATTCAGTGTCAAATCTTTGTAAAGGTCAGATTATTACTTCATGGAGTGGCGCATGAAGAAATGACATAAAAACAGAAACCATGTTAAATGTGGAGTTCTGGTGAAACATCTATTTCCATGAGATTTGTTTTCAGCAGATTACACATCACAAACCTCCAAACTAAGGGATTTAATTTCCTTTTTTTATTTCATATATCAGGGTAAATATATGAAAACATACATGTTTGGATTCATGTGAATAAATCTACGTTTATATGACAATACATTATGTGAATGTCCATGTTTTTTGGATGCTTAAAATAAACTCTCCCAAGAGATTCATATTCATCCTTAAGAAGTTGCATGTGTGGGCATGGAAAAAAAGCCATTAAAGTCTCACTGTGACAAAGTCCCATGTTCTTCAAACCACTGCTATATTAAGGAGCATGTGAGTGTATTTCAAATGTCAAACAATTTTTCACTGAGTAGTATCCTATTATTTAATAACAAACCCATCTGCAGAGGACAACATGCTCCAGATCACTGTCATTCAACTACTGATTTACAACTCCCCAAAGTTTACCTGCCATTACAATAACAACAACTGCCATTATTTCTGTGCTCTATAGTTTTGTTCTCTAAATAAAGCCGTCAGAAAAGCAAAAAGGTCAGTGAGCTCATTTCTAATGACGCTGTTGCTTTAAGCGTGACAGTTCTGGTTGATGAAGGTGTGTTGAGAGACTGATCAGAGCTCCTGCAGCCTCCCTGAGCATGGCCTGCCCTCCATTAACATTTAATTCTGCCATGCACTATTGTGATAAGCCCACGGCTCCTCAAACTCGGGTGAAAGAGGCTGGCAGCTCATTTACAACAAAAATGGCAAACGCCTGTTAATGTGTTTGCATTAGTGAGACAGGAGAAGCAAACAGGTGGATGATATGTAACTGTGTATGTGCTACCTGTCATATAAAATGTAAAATTCATATTTCTTTTGAAACCCTTTACTAAAAGATGTGGATGTTCCCTTCATAATGGATGCATCATACAGTAATGGCGGAGTGCAATGAATGGCTTTTCAAACTTCATTCACTTGCTGGGCTGTGGAGTACCCCGCAAATGCTGGGTGAAGTGAGCTATTACATTGATAGTCTCACAAAAAAACCTTTTCTGTGGTTGGTCACATATTGATCATAGCCCTTCCATGCAATCCTACCGAGAGGGGGTATGAACACTCATCTATTGTCTGCTTTCCTGATGGCAGGGAAGAGAGATCTATACTTCGCTCTTGTACGCCAGCAAGACATCCAAACTCAGACAGGCTGACATTTCCTGAGTCACGATGTCCAAAATGGGCTTAAACTATGACAACAGAGAGCCCCTTACCAAGCCAATCCCCTGCTGGAACTTACCAACATGTTGTCCACAGCTGGAGAGCTTCTCCACCAGGCTTGACTAACAAAGTGTCCAAATGTTGGAAGATGTCCTGCTGGTGGTGATGATCTGTCTGCTTTAAATCTCAGGTTCTTTCATTGTAACTTTCTTTCAACATGCTCCTGAAGTCTCTTAAGACTCCGCAGGCCAAAAATGCTGCAGTTTGAGGACAAGTAAAACTAAAAAGAAAGTGCAGAGCTTCTCTGCACTGGCTCACCATGAAATCTAGAGTAGAATTCTAAAGTCCTTTCCAGTAGCAAAGTTAAAGCGCTGAATGTTTAGGGACCACCATATCTCAAAGTGCAGTGTCAGTACATCAAATAATTGATTCATTGCATCGGTCCTACTGAGACTAAACTTAAAATACATGAAATTACACTAAATAAAACTATCAATCCCTGTTACAGAAGACAAAAAAAAAAAACTAAGCTGTTTTGTCGTACATTAAACATTAAAGAGAAACAGAGATTTAAAAGTGACAATGTGCCTTGTGCTTGTCCATAGTTATGTGACGTAGAAGGTTGACCAGATGGCCTAGTAGCAACAAGCAGGAAAAGGGGCATTTATGCCACCCACTGTAGTGTGGACATACTTCTGTTAATGATTTTAATTCCTGCCCCCGGTGCTTGTAAACTGGAACAAGGACAGAAGTCTAGTTAAATCACCTAGTTGAGCTATGACTGCAGCTCAACATAACAGTGCTTGTAAATTCACTGTGTTACCCCTCTGGACCACTACGATCCCAGATTGTAGATCTGCTCATGGTATTTTGAGTCTCCTAAGGTAAAAATCATTATTTAATAATTTACAAGCTGGACCAGGGAGAGGCAGAGTTTAGCTCTCCTCTTGAGTGAAGATTTCTTTTCTGGCAATTTTCTACACATTGCTTTGTCTAAATTTGCTGTTCTTTCCTTTTTTACTTGGCTAGAAGCTGAAATTTTGTCAGAGGACACCTCAGTAATTGAGTGTCCATGTACCCACCAGGCCCTCAACAATTACTTTGCAATAGTGGTGTAGAGGCTGAGAGTTCAAGGTGTCATTTCTACACCCCTGAAACATACCCTCTACAATCATACTCAGAGGCTGCATGGATGGGCAAGTCAATCTGCTGCTGATCTGCCATTGGAGGTGGTTACAGAGGTGTAGGGGAGTTTGAACCGTTGAATAACACAGTGTATGTACATGAGTGTGTGTATGTGGCGCTCCTACTGTGTTTGTGCCTTTAGGGCTTTTGTAATGTGACACCAATATAACATCGATACTGCCACTGTGGATGCATGTGTCAGAACAAAGGTGTGATAATGGAGCAACTGTGTAATGATGTGTTGCATACTGTGTACCAAAACTCGACAGGAATGATGTACGGCTCCAAAATTTCTGAGCGAATCTTAACTCCTGACCTCAAAGGATTCAGCTCATCCTTAGATCTGTGAGCTGTTGCAGCTTGTATCAGCATATTTTGTCTCGCTGGTATGTTAGTAAACTTGAAAGCCAAGACAGTGCCCTCCAGAGCTGTCAAGTATCCCTTTTCGGCCTCCCGTATTTTACCCCTTCTTTTCCATCGTCTTCCCGTATTAGTATTCTCTCGTAAATCTCCCGTATTATAATATATGTATATAAAAAAACATTATTCTGCCTCTCCAAACTGAACTCTGTGACTAGCGTGATAAGTACCCACCAAGTAGTAGTTGCAAGTTGTCATCTGTGACAACAGTGCTTGCTGCACTGATAGAAGGGGAGGGGGTTGAAAAATGTCCCTTATTTTCCAAACCAAAACTTGACAGGTATGGTCCACTCTCTGCAAGTAAATATTGAGTGACCAACCTTTTGATTTCACAGGGGAAAAAAATACACAGTGATGTTATTGTGCAAATTTGCAGTATGTCCAAGCCTCATGAATGTAAATGATTAGATTATTAATGCTACCTCACATCCTCCCTCTACAGCCATCATACAATGCCCAACTGATTATACTTTTTTTTCTACTGATATCATTACAAGTGGTTTATCTACTCTGATGACACATTGTTTTATAGAAAAGTGAAACCTGTAATCTAGAACTGCATAATTATGTGGATAATATTGCAGCGACTGACATTTATAGAGAGCAGATCTGCTGTTTTTCACCATCGCAGAGGAGAGGTTGCATCATTTCAAGGAAAGGAATGCTTACTCACAAATAAATAAGTGATGATATAAAGGGTGTTTCAGTCTCAAATAAAGTTCAGTTTTCAGACTTTAGAAGTGAGCGGCTCTCAAGCTTCACTGTTCATCCCGATCTCTGGATCCTGCTGTCCTTCAATTCTTCTTTTGTTACTATCCCCCTGTGCTACCTATCCATCTTATATTCCCCTCTTGTTGTCTTCTGATCCTGTTTCACTCAGCCATCCACTGGGTCTCTTATTAATCTAGAGTTGTAGGCTGCATGAAAAGCAAGGTTATATATTGTTTTCTGCCAAAAGCCTGCTGTATCGCCCTCATGGTGCTTGCGTGCGCTCTCCACCTCCTAGCTCCTGGACTCCCTGTCTGCCCGCCTGCTTGCCTCCCCCGCCTGTCTGCCACTCAGCCTGTAGGTGGCCATTCACCAGCAGGGTTTAATGAGCCTTAAAGGACAAAGGTTTGACATGGAGCTTTGCTGTTCTTTTATGGTAGACTCAAGAACAGGAGCGCAGACCCACTTTGGGGCCTCTGGTGCTTGGTTTCATGTGCTGTCTGCAAAAACAAATGATGATTTTAAATTTAACCTTGTGCTTGTCACACTGTTAATCATACATGACAGGCTTATACAATTGAGGATCTATAAAGCATCACTTGTAATCAATAACATGATTAGGCAAGGTTTGCCAAGGTGACAGAGGATGAGAAAGGTGAGGCCTCATCTTTAAGGTTATGGAGGATCGATTTATATAGTCAGTGGTTTAGAAGCGGCTGCGATGCTGAAAATAACTCACCTTACACCTCAGGCATCACCGCAGTCACTGAGGGGAATGGACGGCTGAGGTAAGTGCAAGCTGCTCTGGGCTGGGAGACTCAGGTGGAGTGTAGAGAGAAAACCACTGACCTTAGAGTTTGAGGGTATTTTTCTGTCTCTGCTGTCCTGCCAGATAACACCTTTACATGTTGGTTTCTGTACCAAAACAAATTAGCATCACCCCCGAGGTAACTATGCCATCTGCCAGACCACAAAAATGAAAAAGGTCAGGCCAAAGAGTTAACCTTCTGCCAAGTTATGGTACTAGTGATGAACTGAAATCAGTTCATAATCATTCACAAGCATATTTCAAATATGCTGTATAAACTTATCAGTGAAGGATTCATAGCTCTGCTTCAGCTCTCTTAATCTTGTTGCACTAGAAGCTATTGAATCGGAACATTTTCTGTACAAAGCCACAGGGGCCTGTGTAGTGAGTGTTTTTTTTTTAAAGGTTAAATATGAGGTTTTCTAGCTCTCATACTAAAGCTTTGTTTGACAATGTTCAAAGGTAGTACAGGTCTGAAATGGCACTACTCTTGACAAGTAACTCTATACCCCTATGCTAATCTAGATGTGCACCCTTATGAAGTCTGGAGAAAGTTGGTACAGACAATGGGCTCTATTTTCGTGCCCGCCGGTGGCGTGGCAGAAGGGCACCCTGCGCAGTGGTATTTTTGTCTGGTGGAGCCCGGCGCACAGCCAGTTTGGTATTTTCTTAGAGTGAGGCACACGGAGGTGCGCCAAGATGGGCGTGATGGTGAGGTATAAAAAGATTTTTTTTTTAAATTCATTCAAAATTATGTGTTTATCTAATGTTCTCACATCCTTAAAATTCTAAAATTAAGAATCCAGAGTTATGCCCACATAGGAATATTATAATATTCAGTTGCGTGAGCCAAGTTTATTTTATATGCCAACATCAATGAAAGAAAGAGCCATGCCATGGAGCACAATGCGTCCTTTACGCACAGATGGCTCAGATTTTAATGCCATTATTGGAATTTACATTGTGATCTGTGCGCACAACCCACGTGAGGTTTAAATATATGCAACTTTATGTGAGTGTCTTAATTTGTGGAAAAGGGTGTTTGTCTTACCAGTGGGTACAACCTTACACAAACCAAATCCATCTGTGCTTATATGAGAGTGTGTGGAGGACGCCCTCCGCAGCACTTACAGCGACACTTGTTAAGGGGCTGCCTTCTGTCGCCATCATGTGGCATTGCTGTCTTCAGCCATCTCTTGATCTCTTTGTCCACTGCACAAAAATTGTAATACACCTCGCCGGTGGCAGATTTAAAGGTGAGGAGAGGAGCTGATGTTATTGGTGAAAAACAGGTCTCGGCTGTGTAAAACTCACTCCACGCCTTATCTCCTCCCTCTCTGCTACTTTCACCGCTGAGACGAGCTGAGTTAGGGAGGAGGGATACTTACAGGCTACACTGCTCACCAAAATACCAAATTGTTCTTGGTCACGCCTTGTCGGCAGACCTGACTTATGCCGCGCCTGCGCCACGTCACCAGCGAGGCACATAAATAGAGCCCAGTGTGTTTTTATGCTGCATATTTGTAGCTCAGGGGTCAGTGTGTATTGCATGTGCTAAAAGCAGAATACACAACAGAAGATCCACAGATGACCTTTTCTGCTAAAATGTAAATGTGAAAAAAACCTCAACTGAAATCCGCTGTCAATCATCTAAGCCTGCTGCACACAGGCGGTCACCTGCACTGACTACTAACTACTGTATGTGTCGCTCAGATGTGCTTTGTTTGCATACAGAGAGCTAGACCTGACAGTTTCTTCAGCTAGTGTGAATCAAACAACCATGATTATGGAAAGTGTGAGGGGTCTTGTGTTCATAAATTTTCTTTGTTTGTTCTTTTCCCACTTGCTAATCTGGTACAGAACGCTGCAGGAGTCCACATTTACCAACAAAGCTGGTGCTGGAGCCAGACTTTAATGATAACGACAATGACACTTCAACTTTA